GCACCTCCAAATCTGAGACCATGGTTCTCGACCGGAAAAGGGTGGCTTGCCACCTCCGGGTCGGGGGAGAGGTCCTACCTCAAGTGGAGGAGTTTAAGTATCTCGGGGTCTTGTTCACGAGTGAGGGTAGGAGGGATCGGGAGATCGACAGGCGGATTGGTTCGGCGTCTGCAGTGATGCGGACGCTGAGCCGATCTGTCGTGGGGAAGAGGGAGCTGAGCCAGAAAGCCAGGCTCTCGATTTACCGGTCGATCTACGTCCCAATCCTCACCTATGGTCATGAGCTTTGGGTAATGACCGAAAGAACGAGATCGCGGATACAAGCGGCCGAAATGAGTTTCCTCCGTAGGGTGGCCGGGCTCAGCCTTAGAGATAGGGTGAGGAGCTCGGACATTCGGGAGGGACTCGGAGTAGAACCGCTGCTCCTCCGGATCGAAAGGAGCCAGTTGAGGTGGTTTGGGCATCTGGTCAGGATGCCTCCTGGACGCCTCCCTGGGGAGGTGTTTCGGGCATGTCCTGCCGGCAGAAGGCCCCCGGGTCGACCCAGGACACGTTGGAGAAGTTATATCTCCAATCTGGTCCGGGAACGCCTTGGGGTCCTGCCGGAGGAGCTGGTGGACAAGGCCGGGGAGAGGACGGCCTGGAGCTCCCTAGTTGGGATGCTGCCCCCGCGACCCGGACCCGGATAAGCGGAGGAAGACGAGACGAGACGAGACGAGACGAGAAGTCATATAACAAGTTCTTATTTTTGTCCACTAGATGTCCTTCTACAGGTAATTGATGGTTCCATGTAATGTGCTCTTTCTGCTAACAGTTATTTGTTATTTAATGATATCCATATTTTTAATTATTATTTTTTAATTTAAGCCACTTTCACATTTTTTTTTCTTCTTACTTGAGTAACTCTTTTGGTGGGGAGCTTTTTTAGTTGAGTAAGTGTAAAAGATTTGAAGTTGTAGTTTATATTTGAGTATAGGTTTTGAATTTAATATGGAGTCTGTTTACAACCTGTAAAAAGTTGCTAAAACTATCCATTAAACTAGCTATAGCCGATAGGTAAAGCCTACTTAATAGAAATTACTTTACCTGTTCATTGTTGCGTCTCAGCCTGAGCAATAGAAAAGGCCTTTGCGGGCGATAAATGCCTTCTAGCTCCTCCAGAACCAAGGAAATTATTAAAAAGCTCAACAAAACTTCCAGCTCCATCATTTGAAGTTCCTTCTCCCTTCTGCTCAGCGGTTCCATGGTTGCTAGGCGACGGAACGACAGAGAGGCGGGAATTCCTGAAGGCTAGGCCTGTCCAAATTCACAGCCGTTAACATCCGGTCTACTTGGCCGACGGAGGACCCAGCCCACGTCGGGCGAGTAGGCTGGGTCCTTCGAAGGATGCAGACCCTGAATTGAGACACAGCCATTGTGCTGTATGGATGGTTTTGCTGGGATGACAAGTAGTTCAGTTTTAGAGAGGTTGAGTTGGAGATGGTGGGATTTAATCCATTTTGATATGTCAGAGAGACAGTTTGATATTCGTGCAGAGACAGTGTGGTCGTCAGTGGAAATGACAGATAGAGCTGGGTGTCGTCTGCATAGCAGTGGTAGGAGAAGCCATGTGATCGAATGATCTCACCCAGTGAGGTGGTGTATATGGCAAAGAGAAGAGGTCCTAGTACAGAGCCCTGGGGGACTCCTCTGGCAAGATGGTGCACGGTAGAGGATTGTCCAAGCCAAGATGCACTGAATGTTTATGTTTATGTATTTAGCAGGCGCTTTTGTCCAAAGCGACTTACAAGTGATAATCGGCATATTGCCCTTGAAGCTAACAACAACAACAACAACATTGACATCAGTCATGGAGAGTAGGGAACAAGGAGTGGACAGTAGAGAGGGGGGACGGGTGCAGGCAAGGTGCTAGTTAAAAAGATGCTCGACCTGTGAGGTATGATTCAAACCAGGCGTGTGCTTTCTCTGTGATGCCCATGCCCGAGAGTGTGGACAAAAGGAAGCCATGGTTGACAGTGTCAAATGCAGCCGATAAGTCGAGGAGGATAAGCACTGAGGATTTGCCTGTCGATCTAGCTTCTTTTAAGGATTCAGTCACTGCTAACAGAGCAGTTTCAGTGGAGTGGCCCTTTTTGAACCCAGATTGGTAAGGGTCAAGCAGAAAGTTTTGTGACAGGTATTCTGTGATCTGCTTGAAAGCCACCCTTTCAATGATTTTGGACAGAAAAGGGAGGAGAGAGATAGGTTGGTAGTTCTCCACATGATTTGGAGGGAGAGATGGTTTTTTTTAGCAGCGGTTTCACCTGAGCATGCTTGAGAGAGGTGGGAAATGTACCGGATGTCAGTGATGCGTTGATCACATGTGACTGCTGCGGCTACTGTAGGAGCAATAGCTTGGAGCAGCTTAGTCGGAATGGGGTCCAGTGAGCATGTAGTAGGGCGGCTGCACGTGAGAAGCTTGGACACACAGTTCTCAGTGAGAGGGGAAAAAGAGGAAAATGAAGCAGTAGGGCTTGAGATGGTTGGACTAGAAGGGGTTTGTGGTAGCGAATGTTCAGGAGTGGCCAGTTGAGTAAACTGTTTGCTTATAGCTGCCACTTTGTCAGTGAAAAATGAGGCAAAGGTGTCAGCTGATAGATTGTTGATAGGAGGTGGAGATGGAGGGTTGAGCAGAGTTTTGAATGTTGAAAATAGTTTCTGAGAGTCAGTAGAGCTGAGAATTTGGTCAGTGTAGAAAGCTTTCTTTGCATCGGTGATGCTGGCAGAGATTGAGGACAGTAATTCATGAAATTTCAATTGATCACCAGGATCTTTTGTTTTGTGCCATTTCCAGTCCGCAGCTCTAAGATTGGTGCGTAGAGACCGGAGGGTATCATTTAGCCAAGGGTGCGACTGAGAGGATCTAGCAGGTCTAGTGGCTAAAGGGCACAAGTTGTTAAGACGAGCAGAGTGACTCGGTGGCTTCATTCACTTCATAAGCAGAGAATGTGCTGGGAGATGGAAGAGTGGAGGCAGCAAGAGAGGAGAAGTGGTTGGGTGCCAGATTGTGGAGGTTGCGGCGGAATGAGACCACTGGGAGGAAGCAGTGGACCTCCCTTGTAGTCAAGCTGAAATGGATGAAGTAATGATCCGAAAGATGCAGCGGTGTGACAGAGATTGTGTCTATGGCACAGTTTCTGGTGAAAATGAGGTTGAGTGCTTTTCCAGCTTTGTGAGTTGGAGGACTTTGTACTAGTTTAAAATCAAATGATGACATTAGTGAGAGGAAGCCTGATGAGCTGGGATTGTCCAGGTGAATATTCATGTCTCCAAGGACCATTGTGGTACAGTCGTGCTCAGGAATGGAGGAGAGCAGGGTGTCGAGTTCATCAAGAAAGTCTCTGAGTTGACCTGGTTGTCGATATATGACAACCAAAAAGAATTCAGTACAGTTACCTGGATGGCATGGTATTCAAATGAGTTGTATTTAGTGATGGATAGCAACTGGCTGTAAATCCATTTGTTAGAAATTAATCCGTTCTTTCATAATCCGTTATTGAATTGTTATCGGCAGAAGCTTTTCCGGTTGGCACCTCACTTTTTTCACAGCAGCGGCTCAAAACTATCTCCTAACACATGGATTTTCTGCTTCCTGGTCATGTGACGTGTGATGTACGAGGATGAAGTTCAGCTTTAGAGCTGTGATGTTTGTTGTCACGGTGCGGGGACTCGTTCCCACGCCCACACAGTAAAACAATGCAAATGACTACTTTAGTCGTCAATGGCAGTGAATGAGTTAAGAACAGAGCTCATTCTCCTCAGAGCACAAGTTATTGAAGTGCTTTTCTTATCCAGTATCCATCGTTTGTGTTAGAGGTGTCGTTCCCTCTCATCTGCATGGCTGCATGGTGGCGCAGTGGTTAGCACTGTTGCCTCGCAGCACGAAGGTCGCAGGTTCAAAACTCGCCTTTCTGCGTGGAGTTGCGTGTTCTCCCCATGCATGCGTGGGTTTTCTCCGGGTACTCCGGTTTCCCCCACAGATCACAACATGCCCTATAGGTTAAAAAATAATTGTAAGTCGCTTTGGGTAAAAGCGTCTGCTAAGCACATAAACATAAACATCTGCCTCGTTGCAGGGTTGGGCCCCTCCCCCCTCCCAAGCCTGGACTGGGGACCCGCTGCTAACCCCTTCCCTATTTCGGGGCAACTTGCTCTTTAATTTTAGCCAATCTAAGTTTAGTTTATTTTGAACAAATTAATAAAAGAGAAAATAAAATACAGTAAGATGGTACATCCCACACCACCGCTACATCATTTGTCATATGCATCCGTAGTACTGTATACTAACATACGTACTCTTGTGTCTGTAACAATACCATATCTGTCATCACCATTCAATACATGTGCAATATTTGCAACAATTGTTATATACCGTATGTGCAACAACCATCAAACTCACAATTCAACACTTTTCAATTCTAAGTTGCTTATTTAAATCCTTTTTGTGTGATATCTTTTGTGTACTACTTCTATTTTACTTTACTGTACTTGTGCCGTTGCAATACCACAATTTTCCCACTGAGGGACTAATAAAGGTATTCTTATGTAAAGTTTGAAAGGCAGCAGGATGCGCCCCTTCATACACAATGACAATAACTCACATCTTATATTAGCCTTTCAACAAAGCAAAACCACAAACATTATATAAGCATTCATGTACTCGAAGGTTATTTTAAGTAAAACACAACTGAAAGTAGTGCAGCGTATAAATCTAAATCCTCTAAAGTAGAAAATCAACAAAATAACAATCTGAACAGAAACACTATTTAGCTTCCTGTGGAAAATAAAAAATCTGTCAAACTATTCAGTTTCTTATCAAATTTCCTTGAGATTACATCCAGGCTGACAAGTTGGGTTTATTATCCTCCGACATCATCATCTACTGGATGCATCATAATCATCTGACTCGTACGGAAGGACCTTTGTAATGTTTTTTTTTTCTGATGCATGTTTCTGAAAAGGCTCGTAACAACTTTGAGAGCACCCGAGCTGAGGTGGAGAGGCTGATGAAGAGGATCCGCTCTGCTGAGGATGATTTCAAAGCCCCCAGCTGCTTTACCATGGAGGGATTTCTGTACATCCAAGAGAAACGTACGGTACTCCAAAATCTCTCACAGAGGCCACTGAAGTCAGGCAGCATGGACTGACACAGAGTGACTTTTTTGATATCCGTTAGGTCCGTTGGGAAGTGTTTGGACCAGATACTACTGTACGTATGAGAAGAGTTCAAAGATGTTCACCATGGGCAACACGGAGGTCAGACCAGCCAGCAGACAGGTGAGCTGGTACCAGTAAGAACAGAAAACAGAAGATGAGGCGCCTTCCTGAGACGGGCTTGTGCGAACACATCTCTATTTCAGCCGAACGGGGTGGTGAACGGCACGCCTGAGATGTTCAAGCTGCGCTCGTGTGTCAGAAGGAAAACAGACTCCATCGACAAACGCTTCTGCTTCGACATCGAGGTGGTGGAGAGGTGAGACGCGTGACTCTGTCATGCATGATTGTTTTTAGGACTGAACGAATTTGCACAAGGTGCCTTGTTTCAGCTCAAGGAAATCTATTTTTACTTGCAGACATGGCGTCATCACCCTGCAGGCCCTGTCAGAGGCCAACAGACGGCTGTGGATGGAAGCGATGGATGGAAAGGAACCTGTAAAGATACATCTACCACTAAAATGAACTTCTATGAGAAACAATTAACTGGAAACGTGTGTTTTAGTGACACTGGTTCTGTCTTTGTTCAGATTTACACCCTTCCTTCTCTGCTCAGTAAAAAAGAAGAGAGTAAGTATGACATCAAGCTTTGTGTGTCTATAGTTATGTCCTCTCGTTTCAGAGTGACTTTTTTTATTGTTTTACAGCATTTCTTAATGAGGCAGGCTTCAACTTTGTGAAGAAGTGCGTTGAGCTGGTTGAAACAAGAGGTATTTCTCACACTCTGAATGTTTAAACAGAAACTGGGATATTTTCAGCTCCTGATGGTGACGTTTGTGTGTGAACTCTCCTGCAGGCCTCACCACCCTGGGGCTCTACAGGACTGGAGGAGTGAACTCTAAAGTGCAGCGACTGATGACGAGCGTATTTGGTATGCTGCGTTGCTGTCATGCCAAGGTGTGGTAATACAAATAAAATCTTCAGCACATATGTTTAAAGTCCATGTCTCCCAGCATCGACAGCTTCCTCTGACATGCAGCTGGATGCAGAAAGCTGGGACAACAAGACCATAACCAGCGGCCTGAAAGATTATTTCAGGTAATGAAAGCCGACTGCCTGTTTCAAATCAAATGTTTGAGAAATTATTGGATTATTATTCTGCTGTGGGCGTGGCCTTAAGCAATAATAACATGGTTTAACGTAGTGGTGTTTTGATAGATCGGACACTGATCATTACTGGCTGATTTCCACTGAAGATATGTGACCGGAATGTTCTGATCAATGCCCTTCAGGACCAAACATACAAGCCCATCACCTGCAGCTCACACTTTGCAGCCTGCAGGGACTCTGTGCATCTCCCTCCGTCCTTCACGCTGCAAAGGCGCGCGGCAGCCAATAGGAAGCCTAAGTCTCCTCCCTGTCTGGTCGGCTCACGGGTCCCCGGAAGAACGAAAAAATGAATGAAAGTCAACGGGGCTAAAAGAGCTATTGTCTAATCCGCCTTGCCTTACGCCCTGGATCACAGATATGTTGTACTGCAATTTAAATGAAAAGTAATGATGGGTGTTTCAACCACGCCAGTCATGTACTTTGAGATTTTTTTAGCTTATAAAAGCTTGTAATTAGCATGACTACACACCAGAAATTGGTGCGTCGCGTATGTGACGTCACCGCAGAATCTCCTCTCCTCTAGCGTAGCTGCTACTTACCACATGGTCAGATTTATGGTGGTTCTTTCCTCCTGTGGGAAGTTTGCTGAACTTACAGCCCTTTTCCCAAAGTTTTCTCTGTGTCTGGTTCGATGACGTCACTTTCGTGAAGCGCATTTGTAGTCCTGGACTTATTTTCACATAAAGCCTAAAATAGCGTTTCCCCCTATTCGAAAATAAGCGCTTTCGTGGTATGAAAATGTGTCTTTAAAAATCACGGACATCATATGTGAAATTCATGGCACAAAACAAGCGCAATTAGAAAATAGCGTTTTTAGCCCCGTTGACTTGCATTCGTTATTTTGTTCTTCTGGGGACCCGTGCTACGGAAGTAGATGGGCGTGGCTTCGGCTCACTATCATAAACAAACATGTTAATGGTTGGAGGCATGGGATGCCGATAGGCAGGGCAGGCACTTGCTTGACCAAAGGATCAACAAACTTGTAGCCATTGACAGCACTGCTGGTCATCTCGGGGCCTGATGCACCCCCACCCCTCTCAGAACGGCAATCTTTCACACTAAACCTACAATAACTTGTGTCTTTAAAATTCACGGACAACTTATGTGAAATCCATGGCACATATCAAACAGGATCAGAGAATAACTTTCATCCCTCCATAGACTCCCATTCATTTTTTTGGCAGTAGGGGACAAAAGGTCCTGAAGTAGATGGGCGTGGCTTAGGCTCCCTCTAGCATTTATTATTTAAATTGTTAAAAGGGATAAAAATATCAGTCAGAAAAGATGTGAAAAAAAAACTAAATTTCAACATTACTGTTTAAAACCGTGGTATTCCTCTAAACCAGTAACTGACCTATTCCTGTCCTGCAATCTGCATGCAGGTGTTTGGCAGAACCGCTACTGACCTACAGGCTGCATAAAGAATTCATCAGAGCTGCAAGTAAGACCTCAACACATCTGTTCTAACACAGAAATGACAGCCATCACATTTCTGAGGCAGCTTTCAACTTGAAAGGGTTTCTGGGGTTACGAGAAACACCTTCCGTTGTTTTCACAGAGTACGATGATCAGAAGCACAGAGTCAGAGCCATTCATGCTCTGGTACACAGACTACCAGACAGGAACAGAGCAATGCTGGACGTTTTAGCCAAGCACCTCCTCAGGTAGGTTCATAATGACAGCATGGAGCTTCCTAACCTGCAGCTTTTAGTGTGTTCCTTTAGAAAGAGTTTATGATCAAGTATCCTGGTGCATGTCAATCTGTGTGTGTGTGTGCGTGCGTGCGTGTGTGTGTGTGTGTGTGTGTGTGTGTGTGTGTGTGTGTGTGTGTGTGTGTGTGTGTGTGTGTGTGTGTGTGTTTGTGTAGGGTATCCTCTCACAGTAACCAGAACTTGATGACCGTGTCCAACCTGGGAATGATCTTTGGTCCCACGTTAATGAGGTCACAGGAAGAGACAGTGGCTGCCATGATGAACATCAAGTTTCAGAACATCGTGGTGGAGATAATCATTGAAAACCATGATAAGGTGTGGTTTTAGGCACACACACCATTTCACACACATGAAGTCACTCTCACCACTAACACACGTCTTCCTGTCAGATCTTCGGAGAGGTGCCGGACCTGTCAGTGCCGTTGCCTCCAGCTCCGTCCTCTCGGTCGACTCCTCGGAGGGGCAAGGTCATCTGTTTGTCTGGAAAGAGGAAACCTCGTTTGTACCCCCCCGCTCTCTGCCTGGCTGATAACGACAGTGAGCCTTTGATTCATCATCGGCAGCGCATTTATTCCATATGTGCTTATTTTTAAATGTTACTTTTCACCATCATAACTGTGATCGTTAGTGCAACTGCATGAGAATTTGTAAATGTTATGGATTTTATCAGTATGTTTACCAATAACCCATTTCCTGATCGAAGAGAAAAGGAGAGACACATTAAGCAGACAAGTCAACCAGTTATAACTGTGGCATACGCATGAGGCAAAATGCCCCGAACATCTGGTCACAGACTTTATTTCAACAAAAAGATAAGAAATGGGAGGGAGAGAGATTGTGTGTGTGTGTGTGTGGGGGGGGGGGGTGTCAAGAATGTGTGTGTGAGTGGCTTGTGTGGGTGTGTCTGAATAAGTGAGCATGCAAAGAGGCATGGAGTAATACAGATTACATTCACTTGATTAAATCAATGATCAAGAAATAATAGACATAAAATTTCCATAACAGTAAAAAAAATCTAATAAAAAGTCAAAATGGAGGTGCAGGGCACCCGGCGTTTCTGAAGCTCCAGATCGTTATGCAGTTAAAGCTACAACAGCAAATTTGGACAACAAATTAGCTTCAAACATTTTTTCCTTCCTCTCAACAGAGTTCTGTAGTTCTAGCCATTGTGGAGATAAAGAAAATAGTCTAAAAACCTCCGTCAGTAACACGTTTTCAACTGAAAGCAGTCATTGGACCATCCAGTTGTCGGCCTCAATGAACCGCCGCGCTTCCCTGGGTCCTCCACTCATCACACACTCACGTATTTATCAACAGAACACCGCCGGTGTGAGGGGTTCTCCGCTCAATAACATCAGAGAAGGAGAAACAGCCGGCTGCTACCGCTTCAATTCTAGTACAAATCATCAGAGTCTCAGAAAGAAAAACACCATTTGAAGTCACGGCAACAAAAGGCGTTTAGACCTAGAAAACGGCGACTGGTGTTTAGCGCTATCTGGTTTCCTCTGGTAATGCGGGTTCCAGGTTCCAGTAGGGACGATACCCGAGGGGAGGGATGAGTTCCTTGATTGAGTTTACATTCAAAACCTAGCTTGTTTTGAATCGCTGAATCAACATGACCAATGAGGACGAGGGTTTTACAAAGGTTTCAGGTTTTAATTGGAAAGAGACCACAGCCTGTCAGCGACGTGACGACGGTTAATGAGCTAAAGTCTGGGAGCTCTCCGGCTCTTCTCCCATCAACAGACATTCCAGGAAGTGAAAACAGGAAGTGGGCCCAAAGATACTGGTGGTCACGTTCTCTAGGATGAACTTTAATTTTAAAACACTGAAACAAAAACTGGATTAATATTCCTCTTCCATTTCTTCTTGTTTTTTAACCGTTTTCTCGCCTCATTCTGAACACTTTTGAGGGTTCTCTCTGAAATTACGGAGCAGTGCTGCAGCTAAATGAAACTTAGTAGTTTTCACGTATTTTACTGAAACTAAGGTCTAATCATGAAGGTGATAAATGACAGAAAGGCCCAGTGAGGTTAAAACAAAAGCAGTGAAATTAATGAACAGCACAGTTTTTTCCTCGAGGCGGTTTTTTATCTTAAGGATTTTCTTTTTGCATTTAAACACTTTGGAAACATCTTTTCCTGCATGTGTCTCTGTCATTTCTTCCTTGTATTATTATTTTTGTGTGCCTGTGATGTTTATCTTGAAATAAACTGTCCTTCCCCTCAGGTGACACGTTCAGTAGCAGCTCCAGCACTCCGATCGGCAGCCAGGAGTCCTTGTCTTCACACTCCTCTGAGAAGAACGTGTTGTCTCAGACCTCTCCTCCGTCATCTCCTGCTGCTGAGACCGGCTTACCCACCACGATGCCGTTGTCTCCTCCTCCAGAGTCCTTCTGCTCACCTCCCAATGGGGAAGACCAGAGGCAGCCTGACAGCTCCCTCTCCACCCAGCTCACGCCTTCCTCTTCGTGGATCTCTGCTCCGCTCTCTGCAGCCGAGCAGGCTTCCTCTCTGTCCTCTTCCACATCCTCTTTACTCTCTGCAGTGGAGAGGTCCTTCAACAGAAACTCAACTGTCTCCTTGTCCTCTGTAAAAGAACCAAGATGTCCTTCTAGAGAGTCGGCGTCCATGGCCTCCACCCAGACCTCCTCTCTGAAACAGGACAGATCTGTTCAGAAAGCTGCTTCTGTCACCTCTCTGAAGAGCGCTCATTCAGACAACCCAAGAGATTCGCCGTGCGCTACCGTCATCAGAAACAGAGGGACCGACTCCACCTCTCCTCAACAACACAGCACTGCATACCGAACTGCCTCCTCGTCCTCGTCCTCTTCCTCCTCATCATCATTGTTTCCCTTCCAGCTTTCTGCATCTTCCTCCCTCACCTCTCTGCACATCTCTGAGGGTAAAAAAGGAAATTCTTGGGTTAAAATGGTCCTTTATTTTAGTAATGCATGTGACTTATTCTGGTCCCTTGTGTGTTTTTTTTTAAAGATTACAAAAGCTGTCATGGATCAGTGCAGAGCCTCATGTCGCTGGACCAACAGGAAGGAACACACACGCGCAAAACACACACTCGCTGTGGTTCTGATCTGAATCCAAAACCCTCCTCAGCTACAGCCAGCAACGGTTACTCCAGACCCGTCTCACTGTGAGTGTAGTTCCTAGTAAACATGCGCTCTTTTCATCCTGAAGATTTTTATGTTTTTCAAGTGTGTGTCTGGGTTATAAATTGTGTATAGCTTAGGTATTTGTGGATGACTACTTGCACAGTCTCAGTTTGAAGAAATTGATTTTTCCTAAAAAAAAAATATATATATCTGAAAAAATAAAATATTAAGGATAGAAATGAAAATCATTTCTGACACGTTTTCATGCAGAAGAGTTTCCTCTTTTCTGTTCGGCCTCCTTTAAAAGCAGCTCACCTGTTCAGACTGGCTTTGGTGTGACTTCCTGTTGGTTTGCTGCTTGTTGCTGCTCGTGTTTCTACCATTTTTCATGACATCGGTGGGAACGAGCCCCTGTTCCTCGCTGCCGTCTCTTCATGCTGATTTTTCTACCAATTCTGTTTTCCTTCACATTTTTCCCATTTTTTATTGCAATATATTTAAAAAAAAAAAGTATAAACATTTTTTTGTTCTTGCGAAGCGCCTCGTGATTTTAATCTCTAGAGGCGCTATCCATCCATTTTCATCCGCTTATCCGACTCACGGGGACAGCAGCCTAAGTCGAGCGGCCCAGACTTCCCTCTCCCCAGCTACTTGAGCCAGCTCTTCCGGGGGAATCCCAAGGCGTTCCCTGGCCAGGTGAGAGACACAGTCCCTCCAACGTGTCCTGGGTCTCCCTTTAGGTCTCCTTCCGGTTGGACGTGCCCAGAAAACCTCACCAGGGAGGCATCCTAACCAAATGCCCGAGCCACCTCAACTGGCTCCTCTCGATGTGGAGGAGCAGCGAGTCTACACTGAGCCCCTCCCGGTTGACCGAACTCATTTCAGCCGCTTGTATCCGCAATCTCGTTCTTTCGGTCACTACCCAAAGCTCATGACTACAGGTGAGGGTAGGAACGTAGATCGACCGGTAAATCGAGAGCTTCGCCTTCTGACTCAGCTCTCTCTTCACTACGACAGACCGGTACAACACCCTTTAGAGGCGCTATATAAAAATAATTTGTTCTGTTGCTAAATGTATAGACTGATGTTCAGTCGTGTTTAGTTCTTAGTTCTGTCGGCCATGAGCTCTGTTTCTCTGAACAGAAGCTGTTTAGGACAATAGTTCATAATTTTTACGCAAAAACTCTTCAAAATGGTAGAAAAATCCACATGAATTTAAAGTAAAGGATCTCAGAAGGAGGTTAAAGGAGATGTAAGAGGAAGATCTGAATCCAAGAGTAATGTACATGTGTGATAAATCCTGAATGTGTTTCAAAAACAACTTACACAGTGCTTTTCTGTTAAAAACAATGAAAAGTGTCTGACTTCTACACTTAAGATAGTATTTTGTTTATGTGTGATGCAGGTTATCAGCCAGACGTCCACAGCGTGAGAGCTCAGTGTTCTCCTCTGCTCTAGACATCTGTCCTTCTGGAAGGTTTGTTCACTTTAAATATTTTCTATGCACCACCTGTGAGAAAGGATGTTGTTTTATTTCTTTAGCCATTAACGTTGCCACACCTTACAGGGACGCCAAAGCGCTGTATTCCTGCGAAGCAGAACACAGCCATGAACTGAGCTTTCCACAGGGGGCGCTGTTCTGCAACGGTAGGGTTTCATTTCATAATTTGGTTTCCTGGCTGGTTTAGTAACAGTTGGGTTTAGGAAAGGTTGCTCTACATTCTAAATGAGCTCCAGTCTCAGCAGGACAACAGCGAGTTTAGATAGAGTTCAACCTTTTATGATCAGGTTAGAATCACAGAAAGAAAACTAGAAAAGATGCTTAGGATAAGGAGGTCTCACTGGATTTCCAAGCATACTTTTTTTAAATCAAAAACATTTTCAGGCCTGGTTCACACTACACGATAAAAAACTGAGGGTGTTTTTCTGCTCACCATCAGACTCCTTAAACCCAAACCAGGTCTGTATAACTGTCTCTTCACCCGCTCCAGCTGCAGCCCCCTGCAATGAATCTGCGCGTTTACAGTAGTACAGACTAGAACATGTTCGCCGAAAGATTTGTGCAACAATCAGATTTTTATTTTACTCCCACAAAATGCAAATTCTCACTCAGAAATTACAGAAATCGGGGACAGTTTGCCATCAAATTTAAAAGCCGTTATTTAAGCCGCCATGTTTGAAATCTGGCTATTGACAGCTTGCTGGCTAATAATGCTATGAGTAAACAGACACGGCAGAGTGTAAAGCCTAGTTCATGCTTCTGCACCGGTGTGGAGACTCGCAACGCCATCATCCATCCTTGCAAATGCTCTCCAGCAGGCTCGCAAGGATGGACAGAGTCGAGCCCACTTTTCTAAACATCCGTCCAACGAGAGACGGAGACACAAAGCAGCTTGGAGAATACCTCAAAAACTCTAAAAATATGAACGTTTTATTCACCCGTGACTGGAGGAGTGAAAATATACGCAGCAAGTGTTTTATTCGTGGACAGAAATGCACCATCTTGAATGCGATACATGACAGGATACCACAGAACATACACTGCACCCTCTTGTCCTGGCAGGGAATTGCTTTGCAACACCCCCCAGGAGACGGAGAAGTCAGGCCCGAGACCAAAATGTCTCTGTCCATGCGTGTGCGTCTCTGCCTTGTGGAGCTGATGCAGAAGCATGAACTAGGCTTTAGCTTTCATGCTCGCTTGTTATTGAAAATCTGACCAAGGTCATCTGGCCCCCATTCATCAGACCTGCTAACTTGCTGCTTTTCCAGAATAAGTGATGTTGTTGAAACCTAATATGGCATTCACATGAATCATATAGATTCGAAGAGCTTTACTTACAGCGGGGAAAAGAAGTATTGGACACATCATCATATTTATCAGCAAGGGTGTTTCTAAGTGAGCTATTGACACAAAATGTCCACCACACGTCAAAATCTGCTCAAGTATTTGTTCCATGCAAAGACATCTAACATTTAAGTCCATAAACTGAGTTATGTGTAATAAAGTGAAAAGACACAAGGAGAAAGTATTAAACACATGAAGATACCAAAGTGCAAAACGGCCCAGATAGAAAGCCAGGAGATCGCCTGAAATCTGTCGGTATTTAGAGAGAAACCCGCCCCCTATCAGATGGATATCAGCTGCTTTAAACCTGATTGATGGCCTATAAAGGCTTCTCGTTACCCAGGAGACACACAGGAAAGACTTCATGGTTGGTCGAAGCATCGAGCTCTCCTAAGATCTTCGTAATCTTATCGTTGAAAAGCATTCTGATGGGAATGGTTATTGGAACGTTTCCAGAATGCTGAATGTTCTGTGAGCACCGTGGGGGGTGTTATCCAGAAATGGAAAGAGCATCGGTTCACCATAAACCGGCCACGATCAGGTGCTCCACATAAGATTCCTTTCTGAGGAGTTCAAAGGAAAATCAGGAGAGTTCTCCGAGAGACGAGGACCACTCGGGCAGAACTTCAGGAAGACCTTAAATCAGCGGGTTCTGTTGTTTCAAAGAAAACTATAAGCAATGCACTGAACCACCTTGGCCTCCATGCACACAGCGAGCGGAGGCTCGACTACATTTTGTGAAACAACATTTGGAGAAGAATGTGGATTACTGGGAAACCATAGTAGGGTCAGATGAGACCAAAATAAAACTTTTAGGCTGTCATTCTACACTCCATGTTTGGAGAAGAAATGGCACTGGCCACCACCCAAAGAACACCATACCAACAGTTAGGTTTGGGGTGGAAGCATCATGGTGTGGGGCTGCCTTTCAGCTAGGGGGACTGGCAGACTTCATATTATTGAAGGCAGGATGAATGGAGAAATGTACCGGGACATTCTGGATAAAAACCTGCTGCCATCTACCAGAAGGCTGAAAATGAAAAGAGGGTGGACATTTCAGCAAGACGATGATCCCAAACACAAGGTTGGTTTCAAAGAAAGAAAATCAAGTTGCTTGAATCAGTCACCTGACCTAACCCCCATAGAACATATATATGGAGATCAAAGTTCATAACAGAAGCCCAAGGAACCTTCAAGATTCAAAGCGTTTGTGGAAGAATGGACCAGAATCACTCCTGAGCACCGCAGACGACTGGTCTCTTCATGCAAGAGGCGTCTAGAAGCTGTCATCACCAACAAAGTCCTTTCCACGGACTAATAAATAAAGTGTGTTAAATACCTATTCCCTGTGTCATTTCACTTTATTTATTAGGACTCAGCTTGTTTACGTAAATGTTCTGATTTCTTTGTATTAATTCAATATTTGGCTGGATGGAAACATCTGGTGGAAATGTGTCAGTAGCCTCTCTGATAAAAATGCTGATGTGTCAAACATGTATTCTCCCTGCTGTGTTTATTTATTTGGGGGGGGGGGGGGGGGGGGTCTCTCTCAACGTGATCGGGTCTTATCCTGCCGTGTGAACCGGGCCTTTGGTTTAAGGCTGCTGCTTCATTTCACTGATATATTTTTACTGTGTGGTTGCAGTGTGTCCCTCCGTAGAACCGGGTTGGCTCCAGGCTACATACAAGGGCAAGACGGGTCTCATACCTGAAAACTACGTCACATTTATCTGAGAAACCTGATTACCAACGTTCCGAGTTGGCAGATAAAGCTGAGGCTCTTTTAGACTACTGTGGTGGAACATGAATTATCTGTCTTTTATCACGCTGTGTGTAATTATGTGTTCTTAAAAAGCATCCATTCTGTCTCACTTAGCATATCCGTTCTTTTTATGTGTTTGTGTCCAATAGTACCATGTATTTAGTAAACGTGTAAAAGGTACATAGAAGCAGTATTTTTATTAATCTTAATAATTAATTTTGTGTCTGTGTTCACACCTCCTGGAATAAATGAATTGTTTATTCTTTACTTCTCTGCCAGATTTATTGCTGTCTGAATATAAAGTACATAAGAAAAATGAGTGTTTTTGCAAAGGTTACTATTTTGTATGTAAATCTAAGAACTTCACCAACTCAAAATGCAGTTTTAGGTATTTTGGGTGTTTATTAAACTTTGATAGAAGAAAAACAAGCAGCAAGAATCACGACCACAACACAGACGTCCTAACGTGGCAAATAGAACAGAAAGTCTGAACTAACGGTACGAAGATAAACCCATGAGTTGTCCTCACGCTGTGGTGAGCAAAGGCAAAGCGGCGCCGGATGCCGTTAGAAGCTGAAAACTTGACCTTTTGTCTCCACATCTTACTTTTGAACGTTTCTTAGTAATACTGTATACCTAACGCAGAGATTTTCTTTAGAAACGCCACAAAATTACATCTGAACATTTCCACAGAGCTGTGAGTCAGGATGAAGATGGGCCGATCTGTCCCAGCCTTCCCAACAGTACATCCAGTGTCTCCATGTTCTGGGACTTTTCCTCCAGCAGCTCGTATCTCAGACTAGAGATGTCCTGCTTGATATCTTTCAGCTCTCCTGGACCAAAACACACAATAATCAACAAATAAAGCTTACAGACTTCATTTAGCACTTAAAGCCTGCATATCAAATGTAATAATTAAAGAAGAACACAAAAAGACTGTTCAACTATCAATATAATTTCCCTATTTTTATTAGACAGATAATCAAAATGACTGTAGAAGTTCCCAGAAACCTCAAACGGACCCTTTTAGAGCACGAGATTCGTAACATCTGAGTATGAGATGTATGGAAGCACAAACTGATCCAAACATTTGTTTCTAAATGTATAAAAACGAAAGTTTAGTTCCAGATAAAACAAAGTTCATGCAACTTCACCTTCAGTGATCTCGTCACTCTCTCGGTTTGCTTGAGCTTTGATGATGTAACGCTTGATCAGGCGCTTCATGATCTTCTGCAACAAATAAAAGTGGTTTGAGTAAATAATTAGCTATTAGCTATCAGGCTCCTCTCTTGTGGAACCAGCTCCCAGCTTTAGTCCGTGAGGCAGACACCTTGTCTACTTTTAAGACTAGGCTTAAAATATTTTTATTTGATAGGGCCTATGGTTAAAATCTGATGTTAGCCCAGATCTGGACAAGTGGGGGAGTAGAGGGAGGTGGAGTGTACAGTCGGTAAAGATGGCTCTCCCTTGCCCTGCCTCCAACATGTCTCTATCTAAAAGGCTAAGTTACCCAGAGTTATCTCTGTAGTTATGCTGCTATAGGCTTAGACTGCTGGAGGACATACTGACCACTTTCCACACTCGACTACTTTCTTCTACAATCTGCTCTTTAGCTGTATTATTTCCTGCTATTTCAGCTGTTTACTTTATTTTTTCTCTAAGTGTTTTTCTCCTCAGAAGAAGCTACAATGATGTTCTGCTGAGCTGTGGTGGCCTCATGGAGCCATCGGCTTGAACACTGTTGCTAACTACTTAAACATTCTCCCTCTCCTGATAATAACATTTTACTTTCTATGACATTGAATGTGCTACTACTAGTTTACCAGTTTAATAATAGATTCACTAGGATAAATACAATAAAGTTTATCTCTCACTAAACAGAATATTTACTAAGAAATCACAATGTAACCATAGAAACACTACTTGGTATATATGTTGTGTGTGTGTGGACGTGTGTTTGTGTGTTGGTGGGCTGGTGTTGGTGTGTGTGTGTGCTCTGTCTTCTCCATCCCCAGTGTCGTGGTGGATGGCTGCTTATAATGAGCCAGGATCCTCTGGAGGTTTCTTCCTGTTAAAAGGGAGTTTTCCTCTCGGTCGGATGGCCGCTGGCACCGGAGGGCTGTAGAGTACCGAGGTACCGATTCTTTCAGTCCAGAGGTGTCTCGGGTCACGACAGATGGATAAAACCGAGCGTCTTGAAATTAACTCTGAAGGAGTTTGCGTCAGCTTTGTTCTGCAGGAGCTATCTTCTTGTTCTCAGCTTCGAAAAAGGTTTAAAAAGGTTTTGACAGACGTGTCAAAATCCTTGTGGTTAAAGAGGTTATTCAAAAGATGGCCGGTCTAAAGCTTTTCCTCTAAAACTCTTGAACTGTTGAGCTGTTTGAACTGTTTTGAACTGAACTGAGGGAAAAACCAGAGTAAACTAGTTTAATGGATTGATGTTATCTTGTATTGTCAACCAAAAGTTGACAAGTCTCTTTGATTCGGAGACCAAGAATCTGGGCAAAAGGTTAACTTATGTGTCATGCGTTAACTTACTTTTACTCTGTCCTTGTGTGAGTGCAAATGTTGATGACCTCATCCAGTAAACATGCTAAGCATATATCATTAAGCACAGTTCAATGAACTTTGCATTGTTTATAATTATTATAAGTAGCAATAACAAAAGGTTATTTACTGATTATTTTCAATTTAAAATCTTCTTTCTTCTTCTTCTTGGAATAAAGGAGTTCATTTAAAAGAGTTCCTCTGTGATGGACCTCGGAGGAGAAAATGTTATTGTTTATGTTTTATTATCTGTCAGAGCTGCAGTCCAGCTGGTGTGAGGGAGGCAGGCTCTGATTAAAGGGACTACACGGGAAAATATTGTAGGATGTGTCATAGCCAGGGGTAAGTTGACCTGGCTGTGGATCTGACCTGTGGGATCTCAAAATCAGGCCATTTCGTGATGCTACAATGGTGTTTTTAGTTAAGGGAATTTTTGACCTTGGAACTCTATCCGCCCCATTTCTTTCTTCTTGTTGAATCATGACGTCTAATGTTAACCAAGTGGGTCCTGCAGGGCTTTATATGTTCTTTTCTCTTTTGTTGTTCAAGTTCTGTAGAACAGAGCACATTATGTTGCTTTTTGAGATCTTTTAGCCTGCTTCATCAGTGTTGACGAAAACACACCAGACATCACGTATTGTGTCCGATGGAAAACTTCACATCACCTGACATCTGATTTGACCAACGTGTTTCTCCTCTAAACTTTGACATCAAAGAAACTTCTTCAGCAGCAGCTCCTCCTGCTTGAACCCCCACCACTAATGTTGGAGAAGTTTGAGTGGCCCAATTATCCCAGGATCTATGTCGTTTGGGACGTTTTGCCCCCTGGCAGGGTCACCATGGCAAGTCGAAGGATGAGACAAACTGTGATTCAAAAGATCCTTTATCAGCCTAAAAGTAGAGAATGAGAACCCAGCAGGAAGGTGCGGGGGTCCCTCCCTGGTGCCGGGCCTGGGACTGGGGCCCTGGTGGCCTGGCTTTCACCCGTGGGTTCAGCGTGAACATGGTTATTTTTCCCTCTTCCAATGATTCCAATCTTTTGAAAATCACACGATCGTGCCCGATTTTAGATCACCTGATTGGATCAGAATAGCTTGACTTTCAATTAAGACAACAGGCATATGTGTTGCTAGCTTAAGTGCAACACCATTACAACACCTCTGTCCCACACTGAAATAATACAAATATAAAAATGGTACCGTTGCACCTTCCACTGTCTTCCTAAAGTCAGTTTTCACACAATGAATATTGAACTCAGGAGACAAGTGAAACATCAAAAGGAAGACATACTTGATATCTTGTGCCGTTGTCAGAACTTCCATATACTGATTTTTTTCTCTCCCCAAGCTGGAATGTTAAAATAAATTCATGTTATCTAAACACATCTTCAAATCTTCATCAGCTTCAAGTTGGATTTACAGCCTGCAAGGCAGCAGAACGTCTGGTTCCTCCTCAGATAAAGTACCTGATTGAGTTGTGTCCCTGGATTCTTCTCCCTGCTTCTGTGAACAAGCTGCTTGAGTTTGGACTTCATGGCCGTTACCAGCCTCAGTGTGGATTTGGGACTGGGAACCAGATTGAAGGGTACAGGAAGCGTTCTTCCTTCTTCAAAATAGGAAAACCAAAGTTTGGCTCGAGCAAACTTCCACTCAACATCTGCATCGTCCTACAGAAAAAAGGAATGTAAAAGGAGAACAACGGATTTAAGAAATAAATTAAAACTTCAGTTTTTAAATGACGCATAACAACAGAGAGTTTTTATCTGATAAAGATCTGAATTCATTAATAAAAACTAACCTCTGACATACCTCTATCTCCTGAAAGGAGCTGTTGATCATAGCGATGAGCATGTTGAGCAGCACTATCACCATGGTGACGTTGTAAACCCCGTACAGTATATAACCAATGTTCTCAATGAACTTGTGTCCATTGTTGATCACCACAGATTTGACCTCAGACAGTCCAAATATGGCCCAGAACAACGTCTTGAAGCTCTCCTCCAGACTAAACATGCAGAGGGGAAAGGGAGAAAGAACAAAACGTTTCTTTACATTTTCTCTAACGGTGACGGAAAGTTAAACTACAGCTCTTGAGAGATGTGTATCTTAGCGGATAAACCCTTGTTGTAGTCCCATTTGTTCTAATGTTCGTTTATAATTATCTATTTAAAATTATCATTTGAATTGGTTTGCTTATGTAATGTTTGCTGGTTCACTCACAACAGATCAGAAAATAACCGATAATCTCCCTTTTCCACATGCTTGAGATTTAAAGATGCACAGTGTGAGAAAGAAGTCAGGAGGACATCCTGTGGTCAACTTTGGTGAACAAAAGGTCATTCTCACAACCATTTTGTGAGTTTCAAGGCTGTTACGGATCAGGACCAAGTTAAGTAGCAGTTAAGTAGATAAATAGATTTCACTAATTTTGAGTTGTTGCTAATTGAAAAAGCAGCTTGAGATATTTTTTTGAACCGATGATTGATTTTATTTGTGTAAGGAAGGTGGATGGACAACAGAGTAATACAGATGACCATACTGATGTGTGTAATAGAATCATACAAATGTATCAGAGAGTCATACACACATCTAATGTGCAGGGTAACACAAAAAGGCGTAAACACTTGTTTCTTTTGAGGCCCTATGGGAGATCACCGGTTGGCTATAGCATATTCACCGTAAAGTTCTACGCATTGTGTCTTTAAATGCCTGTGTGTTCTCGTCTGCTTGCACCGCAGGTAGCCATGGAGTCCCAGTCTTCTATCTCAGATCCTACTGCAGGGCTATTGAATTCCGGGCCTGAAGGGCCGCTATCCAGCACGTTTTAGTGGTTTCTCTGCTCTAACACACTAGATTCAGTGGTTGAATCACCTGTGCGGCAGCTCATCAAGCTCTGCAGAAGCCTGTTAATCACCTGCTGATTGAAATCAAGTGTGTTGAAGCAGAGTTAAAACTAAAACCTGCTGGATACCGCACCTCTAGGTCTGGAATGGAATAGCCCTACTGGGTCTAGGAAAAAGAAGCTGGTTGTGGTGCTGCTGGAGGGTTCTTCCTGGTAAAAGGGACTTTTCCTTACTGTCACTCACCATTTGCACTATGCTGCTCACATTGGTTTGCTAACACAGGAATGGTGGAAAGCATGTATAGAGGTGTGCAAAGTGGATGTCTCACGTGGTGAAGGCATCATTCTGCTTCGCTCCCAGGTAATAAGAGTACAGGTTGAACATGCCAATCATAAACGCCAGAAAGACTAGGAGGAAGATGACCATGAACTTGAAGATGTCTTTGACGGTTCTCCCTAAGGAGATCTGGAGAGGACCAAAGCTCTCATTGGCTGGAAGGATGTAAGCAATCCGAGAGAAGCTCAGCACCACTGCGATGGCGTAAAGGCCTTCCGATATGAGCTGAGGATCCGATGGCATCCAGTGGATACGTGCTGCAAAACAGGGATGAACCGCTTGGTAAACATCTGGAAGTCCACTGGGATTAATCTTGTGTTTATCTTTTTGGTGTCAGAGAAATAACATAAAGAAAGGAGAGCAGGTGAAAAATATACCTTTACTCATGAGATCGGTTTCTGGTTTATTTTTTAGTTTCTATATTTAAAACACCTCAAAAAATTACAAAAGATGGCAGCAAAATGGCTGAGCAGATTTCTAACCAGTTTGGTGTCTAAAGGCCGATATTTCTTTTGGATCTGCAGCATTTGCAGAGTGAAAGACAAACGGCTGTGCTCAGTAACACTATTTTTGACTAGCGGTAGCAGCTGTGAGTCTTTTATTTTGTGTTTAGGATATTTTGTAGAATCGTCCTGTCGGTCCTGGACTGAACTGGTTTTAGGGTCTGTCTGAAAGAAGTTCGGCTCTTATGGTGGACTTGGAGGTTTGTTTTTCGTCTGTGTGGCGTGGTGTGCTGCTAGGATTTGTTCAGCTGTTTAATCACCTTTGGTGAAGTATTCCACCTCTGGAGGCAGTTTGTCGAGAGTTTTGTTGTGCTGGTAAACAAAGCTCTGGGCCAAATCAGCTCGTTTCATAGCAGAGAAGCGACAGCTGAACGAAGCCAAAAATATGGCCAACATCCCAAAGTCCAGGAAGTTCCACAGTTCAACCAGGTATTCTTCTGGTCCCTGACTCCAGATCTCTTTCACTTCCGCCCAAATCATACCTGTAGCAGCAGAAGTAAGGAATGATTTATTTATTTTTGTTTTGTTTCTAGTGACATTATTCTCGTCTTCTCACCCATGACCCAGGAAATGATGAGGATCTCCATCCAGGTGAAGGGGGTGGTGGTTTTACGGTAGAGCAGCAATGGATCAGACTTAAACTGGAGACCTCCAGGTTGCTGCTGATGGTGGGTCATGTTTGGCAAAATGGTGGTACCTGCAAAACGGTCAGCGGCGTTCAGGATCAGCAGACCCAGAAATACTGTGAAGGATGAGGCATGGGCCACAAACTTCATGAAGGGGCTGCGCAAAACTTTTCCCACCTGATGAGGAAATGAAAGGAGAGAAAATGAGATATTGATTAATATGTTTCTATTAATATTTACCTTTAGAGTTGTTACGAGTGTAATCTGTGATCCAGCGTTCCATACTCTGCTGCAGGGAGTGACCCAGTAAGCCACAGCCAGTCCAGGCAGTCCGACAGCCACGGCCAGAACCACCAGCAGCTTGACAGCGGTAGTTTGTTGTCTCAGACCAGGCAGGTTCTCATACCAGATACTCAGCAGCTGCTGCTGACAGTTCGGATGAGCTACGAACTGAAGGGCACAAATGGAGAAGAAGTCAGATTTCTAACTTCAGGGTTACTGCTCCACTCCCGTTTGGTCAAAATTAAAATCAAAGAAAGGATTCCTATGTTTGTTTTTAAATGAAAGGATTATCGTCAACACTCTGGTTCTTGTTATCACTTTAAAGCTGAAAAGGGACCAATGAGCTTCAGTCTAACGTTGAACTTTAAAATGATTTAGTACTTCATCTCTTCAGCCCTACAGCTCACTCTGAATGACACTTTTTCCTGTCACTTCTGTCTCAGCTGTCCGTTTTCAATTAGATGTAACATGATCAGACACTGTTGCATTCTTTCATGCTATTTCAGCTTTATTTTCTCTCTGTTTTTTTTTTCTCCTCTGAAGAAGCAACACTGATGTCCTACTGAGCTGGGACCTGCTGGGGGTGTAGGGACTAAGAAGATCACCAATGTAAGATGGTGCTTGTCCATGTAAGGCCCTATAGACCAGAACCAGGATCTTGAAATGAACCCTGAAGTTGACTGGCAGCCAGTGAAGCTGGAGGAGAAGCGGGGTGATGTGGGTGTGCTTGGAGGACTTGGTCAGAAGCCGAGCACAGGCGTTCTGAACCACCTGTAGACGGTTCAGGGAGGTTCTGCTCAGACACGTGAAAAGAGAGTTACAGTAGTCTAAGCGTGAGGAGATGAAGGTGTGGAGAACTGTCTCAAGTTCAGAGCGAGAACCAATTCCTGGCTTTCCACTGTAAGCATATATGGGGCATTAAGTAATAGAAACGTTTTGCCGACAAGTTCCCTTCCCACTGGGAGCATTTCAGACACAAGACGGCACTAAAACCGTTCCACGCAGCTTGTCCTGCAAGGTCAGGAAATGACATGAGGACTGCAGGACCATGCATGATTCCAGCAGTTCAAGTGACAACAAGCAAAGAGGAGGACAGCAGCATGCAGTGGTGTAGCAAGGTCTAGCTGGGCCCCCCAGTGCAAGTGTTGCCACTGCCGACTTGGAGAGCATACTGACCTTTTTAAGTTCATATTTAATGGCTAGTTTGAGTCTTGTGAGAGGGGGTCGACCCGCAACATCGAAGGTGTCTTCGCAGAACGTTTCTCCATTCAAGATGGCCTCCACTTCCTCTGTGCTGCGACACAGATCCAGAAGACCCACTACATAATCCTTACACTGGTTTGACAGACGACTGTAGTCATTCTACGTAAAAGAGGGTGGGAGAGCAACATTGAGATAAGATCTGACCTCAGTAGAAAAGGGTTGTTGTAATTTAACAGTAACTTTACACAAACAGCAGCAAAGAACATATTTTTTCTAAATGAAAGAAACTAAAAACAATCATTGTTAGATTGAATATTGTTATAAATAAAATAAGTGCATAAACTAAAAGTCCGCCTGTTGTTCACATTCCTATTAGCTTTAGCCTTCAGCACAGCTAGCTTCTTCAAGAGAAGCCGTTGCCTCAAATACAAGGCAATGGCATGGGGACACTGGGATCGGTTGGCTGGTATCTGACTTGTGACATCAGTTTAAACAAGTTGTTTTTGTACAATGTATTAATTCACTTTATTAATGGTGCATTAGAGAGTTTTCCTTTCGTCCTGATTGGTAGTCTGGGTGTAACTTGTTTGTTTTAATTGAGATATTTTTGTTTGTTTGACACATCTCTGCATTTCCGAGCCAGCCGTCTCATTTCTTTCTATAGGCTCCCTTGAACTAGATGTCCATAGGGAGCCTATAGCCTGAAAAAAGATCTGTTGGATTTACATAATTGAACCGTGTACATCGGTTGCATGAAATTAGATTACGTTTTGATTTTATAACTTCTTTATGTAATGCTAACATGTTAATAAAACAGGAACATTTCACGTTATTACAACATGTATTTAACATGTTGCCACCTCATGAAATAATAATAAAACCAAAACATAATCTAACCTCATGCAAATGAATGTACATGATGTAATTATGCATGGTGCTGTGACCATGGTCTTGATTCGGAGAAGGGTAGAATGCCTTCTGCGGGTCAGGGATGAGGTCCTGTCCCAAGTGGAGCAGTTTGAGTATCTCTGTCTTGTTCACGAGTGAGGGAAAGCTGGAGCGCGGGATGGATAGGCGATTATCTGCATCTCCATAAAGTTGGTCAGCAGCAGGAAGCGTGTAGTGCTCTAACACTTCCTGGTGGATGGCTGCGTTGACCTTGGTCCTCAGAAAACACAATGGACCAACACCAGCAGATGACATGGTACCACCCATCACTGACTGTGGAAACTTTACACTGGACCTCAAGAATCGTGGATCCTGTGCCTCGCCTCTTTTCCTCCAGACTCTGGGACATTAATTTCCAAAGGAAATGCTAAATTTACTTTCATCAGAGAACATAAATGTGGACCACTCAGCAGCAGCCCAGTCCTCTGTGTCTTTAGCCCAGGTGAGATGCTTCTGACGCTGTCTCTTCTTCAGTAGGGGCTTGACACAACGACAGCTGAAGCCAGGTCTTGCATACGTCTGTGTGTGGTGGTTCATGAAGCTCTGACTCCACTCTTTGTGAATCTCCCCCACATCTATGAATGGGTTTTATTTCACCATCAGGGAGCGGTTATCCCTGTTGTTGTACACTGTTTTCTACCACATCTTGTCCTTCCCTTCTCCTCTCTAATGATGTGTTTGGACACAGAGCTCTGTGGACAGCCAGCCTCTTTAGCCACGACCTTTGTGTCTTGCCCTCCTTGTGGAAAGTGTTGATGGTCGTCTTCTGGACATCTGTCAAGTCAGCAGTCTTCCCCATGATTGTGTAGTCTACAGAGCTAGACTGAGAGACCATTTAAAGGCTTTTTCAGATGTTTAGAGGTAATTAGCCGATTAGAGTGTGGCACCTTTTCACAATATTCTAATTTTCTGAGATGCTGAATTTGGGATTTGAGTTAGTTGTCAGTTATAATCATCAACATTAAATAAATAAACATGTGAAGTAAATCAGTCTGAAATGAATGAATCTCATATATAAGTTTCACTTTTTGAATACAATTACTGAACAGAATAAATGTTGTCATGAATTTCTAATTTTATGACCAGCACCTGTATACGGACAGATGCGTGCCTTACCAAATCATGTCCAGTGAACTGGAGGTATTACAGAGGGACTGCAGTTTGGCTGCAGAAAGCGGAAGCACCAGAGCTCAGGGTTGAGCTTCAGAACAAAGGATGCTGTGGTTTATCACTTGCTGTTTTTATGTTTGTTTGTTTTAATAATTGAGAGAAATCTCACAATAACGTTTTTCACATGATGGGGTGTTATGTATAGAATTTTGGGGGGAAATAAATAGAATTTTTTTGAAATGTGGAAAAGGTGATGCACTTTGACTCCTGCCTGGATGCGTCGTAAATCTAAATATAATGTTAAAATAAATATTTGCAGTCATGTCTGGTTAGATGAAATCACACCTATGTTGTTTTAGCCAACATGCATGCTCAGACTGGAAGCAGCCCAGTGTCATAAATCATTTTCAGAAGCTGAATGTGGTAAAAGATTGTTTTTGATAGTGTTATACTGTACAGCTGACTCAGCAGTATTAAAATAATGCACCGACTGAGTTTTTTTGCTCAGGACCTTAAATTCTTTCTCAATGTCAGCCAGCATGGCCAGCTCGTTGCTGAGCTCCAGAGCGGCCAACACTGGGTCCTCGTTGAATAGAGAGAGGTAAGCAGGACTGGCCAGACCCCTGTAGGCGTTGATCCTTGAGCGTGAGTGGCTGAACGAGTCATACTGCTGGTGGTAGTTACACGAGTCGCAGCCACAGAAGTAATCATGAGGAGGATCGATGCGGGCGCCTTTACTCAGCAGGGTATGAACGATCTCATACTCCTGACAGTGAGCTGCAAGTATGACTGGAGTCACATCATGAGAAAACCTGAGAGGGAGAAACAAAAAGTTACTCGTGTTCAAAGTCTTAAAGGTTGTACCTAAACATGTAAACCATGCGCACACAGGATCATTACATGTTCATTGGCCTGTTGGTTTTTATAATTCATTTAAAACTTTTTTTTAATGGCATTTATGGTATTTAAGGCTGGAGGTGTTGCAGCCATTTGCCCCAGCTCGGGTCTGCTCTGAGAGCCGGTTGCTGCTTTGGTTCCTGGAGCTCGGTTGAGGACAAGAGGGGATAGGGTGCTCTCTGTGGCAGGACCAAAGCGGTGGAAAGCACTTCCCTTATCTGTTAGGCTCTTTTCATCAGTAGCGTTTTTTAAATGAGGCAGAAGGCCCACTTTATTAACACAGAGGCTTAAATGTTGCTGATCTTTTATGTGATTTTATTCTATCTTTACTTGTTGGTTTTAACTTTTTTCTGTTTTAATTTGGTGGCATGCCTCGTGCCTCTAAGGTGTTATATAAATAAAAGATGATGATGATGAAATAAGCACATATTCCATATAAATGCATCTTAACATAATGCAAATGTTTTAGAAAAATGTTGGCATTAAAAATAGAATTCTCCAATTTCCAAAGGTTCCACAACCACCCATTCCTTTGTTTCCCAAGTCCCGACCCTGGTCCTCAGGACCCACTGTCCTGCATGTTTCCATGTTGCCCTGCTGCCACACACCTGACTTAAATGAATGAGTGATTAACAGGCATCTGCAGCACTTGATGTCCTCCTGAGGAGGCAATGTAAATCAGGTGTGCTGAAGCAGAAACATACAGGTCAGTGTGCCACGAGGACCAGGGTTGGGAAACACTCCCTTAGATGTTTCTGTTTGAGTGCAATGTTGATTCCTCCAGATACTGAGATTTTCTTATGGCAACAATGAAGTTTAAATAAGAAAAGTTTGACTGAAGAGTCAGAAATGAATTTATATTTAATCAAGTAATTTGTGTTTGTTAAAGACACCGTGTGAAACGTTGTCATATTTTCCGGTCATTCTTGAGCCAGTGTGTGCTAAAACGACCCTTAATGAAATGTCACTCAGACCCCACGGCCCTCTGGCCAGAATATCGCACTTGCAACACCTGAGTGGCGGGCCGTCACCTGTCTGAGCTGACCTGCTTGGTGCTGGGGTCTGCTTCCGGCACGCTTCCTGCATGATTTAGATCATGAACACATGTTGATTTGTTAGATTTAGTGATGAACTGCTCCTGTAGACACTAATGAAGGCTGGAGGGAAATTTCAGCTGTTAGATAAGGTGTCAAAAATACCAACACAGCGAGGAGACACGTTTCACTTCTAGGTTTAATAACAGACACTAGGAGGTGATGAAAGCAAGCCAAAACTGCAAAGTAGCCCATTAAATACCAGTGATTCTCAGTTGTTTTGTCACTTTTTGCCTATGTTGAACTAGCAGTTGTGTTGTTCTGTTAGTGATTTTGTTGCAGAGATCTAGAGGTTGCTGGTGGCCTGATCATCTGAAGACGTTTAGGAGCTTCCAAGCACATGTGGCAAGGCGGAGAAGCGAGGGCCCGGGTGGGATTTGATCCCCAGAGTCCTGGGTGAGAGTCATGCGTGCTGACCAGTAAGCCAAAGGGACACCCCCTCTGGCCAAGTAGCCAGGGCGCATGATCAGTCGGGATACAGTGACGCTCACCCTGTCACACCCAGCTTTGTGCACTGATTTTCACTGAAGCACCACAGTTAAGTACAACTCATTAGCAGGATTAGAGCTGGCAGATTAATGCGGTTGGTTTAAAAATACAAAACAAGGATAATTGCATATTATTCTTATCTAATTCATGTCATGTAGAAAACTTGTTTCAATAGATTTTTTGGTACATTAGCCCTCATGAAGCCCACATCTCACCTCAGAGAACTCTGACTTTTTGTGCTGGAGTGAGAGTTAGCTCGGGAGTGCCTCTATCAGTCCTACCTTGTTCCATCTTCATCGTAAGCATAGAAGTCATCCATCATGTCTACTTGGGCGGGGCTCGCTGTCAGACGATTAGCGTCTCTGAATGAAGGATGACTGAGCAAGGCCTCTGTGATACGGATGTAGCCCTTGCCTAAAACACAAACAGAGACAACCTGTTTATAAATCAGGCCTTTTGTTTGATGTCTGCTCTGTGAAAAATGAAACCTTGCCCTTGTTCCTTCAAGATTCAGTGTTTCATTAAAATATCAAACTGATTCAACTGAATAAACCCGACAACCTCAATGAAATGAAGAATGAACATATAGAACATCTTTACCAACTAAAGTAGACTTCAGAAGTTGGTCATTAAGCCCAGAAACATCTAGTTAATGCAACATGGCTGCTTCATCTTCAGGAAGTTAGAATTTTGTTGACAATTTATCTATTTTTTCCCTCACATTTATTCAACAAATGGTTTTGTTGTGCCTCAATAACACAGCAAGGCTTCTGTATTTATGGTTTTGTTTGTAGACTTTGAAATTGCTTTCTGTCTAACAGACACACTAGAAATTGGTCGCCCCTGGGTCCCGGGTTGCTGGGTTCTGGCCTCGGCCAGCTTGGGGGTGGGAGGCTGCGGGCGGGCCTGTGGGCTTGCCATTGACATCTCCTGGGACTCTGCTGGCTGCTAGTTGTGATCCCCCGGGGCGATCCTCTGCGCCTCTCGAGAGAGGGCAGGGGCTTTTCTGGTTACAGTCTCCCTGGGGTCCTTGCACTCTGGGGCAGCTCCTGGAACTCTGGGACTTGGAGCTCCCTCCGTCTCCTACACATCTTTGGGGGCAGATCTGTGGCCCCTCACACTCTCTATTGGACGCTCCTATAGAGAAACCTTACATAAACAAGCACGTGTACACACACAGGTGCTCACATGGTGCTCTCGTAAGAATGGACTTGGGCACGTTCAACACATGCCTTAAGGCTGTGGTTGGCACTAAATGCACTGTGATTTATTATTGTGATTGTTCAGTAAAAGTGTTGATTTTATATTTCCTCATCAGGCTGATGCAGTGATAGCTTGCTCCTGTTGTATTGTTGTGTGTCCCTTTTCTGCAGGTCTAGAAGCAGACTCTTGTTCATCATTGATTGTTTATTTTTGTGGAAACCCCCCTTCCTTTCTCTTCCACCTCTGTCTCAGTGTCTGGTCGGAATTACAAAGCATTCAAAAAACAATAACAATAAAGTGGGATAAAGGTGTAGGTGTAGTAAAACTGTTGTTTTTTGAAAAGCTAGCCCTAACTCTAACCCTTTTTTCCACAAAACCTAAACTGTGATCTAACAGAAACAGTGACAGACATCAGAGATACTCCTACAGTTTGTTGTAGTACATTATTCTTTCTGAATGGGATTTATTGGTAGGTCTTACTGATGGCTAAGAGGAGGGCATCACCCACTCTGGCTAAGTCTGTCCTCCCCAGCAGAAGCTCCGTCACCTCCAGATGTTCATTGGCCACAGCCAGCTGCAGGGCATTTTGTCCCATGTAATCCACAGCATTGACGTTCAGGTTGGGCATGTGGAGCAGCATGCGGCGCACCTCTGGAATGTTGCCGTATTCAGCTGCCTCCAGGAAACGCTGCTCCACCTCTGACAGACTGAAGGAGGGAGCAGAGAACATGTAGGCTGGACCTCGCAGGGCCTGGCGTCGTTTAGCAGCACTGAGGCGACAAGTGAGCTGCCTGTCACAGCTGGAGAATCAGGGGACAAAAAAACACCGCTTATAATCTCCGTGTTTATTTACACACACATTTAGAAGTTCTGCTGGTCATGTTAGAGTCTGGTGTCCCCCTCCTTTCATTTATTTTTATTTTTATTTTTTGCTTCCAAGGAGGCAGATGTTCAGTTTTCAGGAGAACGTAACCACTTCAGGTGAATGTTGGACTCTGGTCCATGAATTATTCAGGCATCAAAGGGTCCTTAAGTCAAGCAATGGAAACATAACATAAACTCCCTCCGGGTCGGGGGAGAGGTCCTACCTCAAGTGGAGGAGTTTAAGTATCTCGGGGTCTTGTTCACGAGTGAGGGTAGGAGGGATCGGGAGATCGACAGGCGGATTGGTTCGGCGTCTGCAGTGATGCGGACGCTGAGCCGATCTGTCGTGGGGAAGAGGGAGCTGAGCCAGAAAGCCAGGCTCTCGATGTACCGGTCGATCTACGTCCCAATCCTCACCTATGGTCATGAGCTTTGGGTAATGACCGAAAGAACGAGATCGCGGATTCAAGCGGCCGAAATGAGTTTCCTCCGTAGGGTGGCCGGGCTCAGCCTTAGAGATAGGGTGAGGAGCTCGGACATTCGAGAGGGACTCGGAGTAGAACCGCTGCTCCTCCGGATCGAAAGGAGCCAGTTGAGGTGGTTTGGGCATCTGGTCAGGATGCCTCCTGGACGCCTCCCCGGGGAGGTGTTTCGGGCATGTCCTGCCGGCAGAAGGCCCCCGGGTCGACCCAGGACACGTTGGAGAGGTTACATCTCCAATCTGGTCCGGGAACGCCTTGGGGTCCTGCCGGAGGAGCTGGTGGACAAGGCCGGGGAGAGGACGGCCTGGAGCTCCCTAGTTGGGATGCTGCCCCCGCGACCCGGACCCGGATAAGCGGAGGAAGACGAAGACGAAGACGAAGAAAAATTACATTTTTATATGTATAAAGGGAACTTTCAGCATGTTGTTGGAAAGCAGGAAATTACCAAATCAATGTATTCTACTTTCTTTAGTAGAATTACTGAAACACAACTAAAAACCTTCAGACAGGAAATGATTTTCTCCAACGCAGTGACATCTTGGTCAGATAAGAAGGTCAGCTCAAAGTGGTTGATCCTCCTTTCAGGTGTTTGCTGGGTTTTTTCTACACTGACTGTTTATCTGCTGCAGTAAAGCTTCTTTTTGATCCGCGTTTCTCAGTTTTAACCACACAAGGCTAATATGTTGTGATGGTCAAGAGAACACCTTCACAAACACTCCAGAACCACTAATGCATGTAGCCTTGCTGCTTGGACGCAAAAATAAAGTTTGGATAGTTTTGGTTTTGTAACGAGAACATCTGTCATCATCAGAGCTAAGCTCAAACTCATCTGAGTTACTGAAGCTGAATCCCAACTGTTACATTTGTGTTTCTTCTCCTTTTTTCCCAAAAGGGTAAAAAATAGTGTAAAGTAACAAAAAAATCACAAAAAATGTAAACATTTATTTCAAACTTTACTGAAGCAGAGTTTCTATTAACAAGTGTGTGTGTGTGTGTGTGTGTGTGTGTGTGTGTGTGTGTGTGTGTGTGTGTGTGTGTGTGTGTGTGTGTGTGTGTGTGTGTGTGTGTGTGTGTGTGTGTGTTATATTTATTATATTTATTATAAAAACAAGTCCGGGTAACTGGTTTGGTGATTTTATTTGACTAAATGACCTTTGAGCGTGTAAATAAGCCTGAGCTGACCTACCCCAGACATCGTCCAGCGCAGCAGAACTCCTCTCCAAAGTCATCGTAGCTGAGCAGGTTGTCCCGGCTCCGGGCTCTGGAGCTGCAGGCATCACCAGCTGGACAACTCCCAGCAGCCAGCGGTCTGTGGTTCATCCTGAGGGTGATCTACTGAGGAGGATCAGCTCCCTTCCGCTTCATGTGAACGAGTGATCAAGTGCCTGCCTCCTTCACTTCTCCATCGCCCTCCCCCTCTATTTATTCTCTGTCCTTCAGAAAGAATGTGTCCTTTTGGATCCCACTATACTTTTATTTATGTCACAGATGTGGAAGGACCAGACACACACAAAGTTTCTGTCTCAGTTGTGTCAGCTGAACACAGATTTTATTTTCTTTGTCCTCTCTCCTCGTCAGCTGGTGGAATTAATAGTTGCACATTATGAGAGGAAGGAAAATGTCTCTATAAGTTGTATCACTGTGTGTGTGTGTGTGTGTGTGTGTGTGTGTGTGTGTGTGTGTGTGTGTGTGTGTGTGTGTGTGTGTGTGTGTGTGTGTGTGTGTGTGTGTGTGTGTGTGTGTGTGTGTGTGTGTGTGTGTGTGTGTGTGTGTGTGTGTGTGTGTGTGTGTGTGTGTGTGCAGAAGTGACTAATGGCTGATGAACTGCAGATGAGATTCCTCAGGGTTTAAGTTCCCAGTAGACTTTGCTTCCTGTGTTCTCCCCATTTTCCACTGATCCCAGTTCAGTGTGGGAAAACAAACACACGTTCATATTTAAGAGAATTACAGCGTGGCACCTGGTTTCCAGTGGCTCTTCCTGCTCTTCCAGACTCAGCCCCTCACTTATAGCACATCTTGTTTTGTGGTTTGGGGCTGGATCTTATGAGCCTCTGTACCGACACCCTTAACATCCGAAAATCTGATAACCGGCCTCTGGTGTGTGATGCTGAGGGTGAGAGTAGCCATTTAAGGGCCTGACTACTGAAGATTGCAGACTCTGACACATTTCCTGAGAAAACGACAGTCTGTGCTGGGGATGGTTGGAGGACTTAGTCAAAACACTGACAAATGACACAAGTAGGAGTTTTTGTTAAGACTTCCTCCTGAGAACAGAACAGACCCAAGATGTAAACACTGTCAGCCCAAGCATACACAATCTCATTGGAGGACACGGACGACACAAACACCTGTGCAGTTATTATTTTTTGTTTCAGTTTACTTTTGCGCGCGCACGCCAGACCACACAGGAGAAGAGTTCCTGTAACATTATCATCAGACTTGATGATCCTTTATCAGTACACAGACACAGTTTTAGTGTGTGTGTGTGTGTGTGTGTGTGTGTGTGTGTGTGTGTGTGTGTGTGTGTGTGTGTGTGTGTGTGTGTGTGTGTGTGCGCGTGTGTGCGCGTGTGTGTGTGTGTGTGTGTGTGTGTGTGTGTGTGTGTGTGTGTGTGTGTGTGTGTGTGTGTGTGTGTGTGTGTGCGTGTGTGTGCGTGTGTGTGCGTGCGTGCACTGGTGAGTTAAAGTGAGTAACGAGACAGAGGTGGGAGATAAGAGCCGGTACCACAGATTCTGGTCTTGGTTTTGAGGTAATGTGCTTATAAAAACACAAACTAAACAGTTTACAGGGAGAGGTTTGGAGATGTTACAGCTGCTGTAAATCAGAGGTGTCGACCAAAAGAGATGGCTAATATCTGCATAACGAATCTCAAACTGCTTCTTCGACTCGTCACCAGCTGAAAGACTTTGTTTTATTTCTACCACAACATGCTCCTTTCCTGTAACAGATTCCAGGATGACAATGTGTCCAAATAAGCTGAGGAGATATTATCTGAAGCCTTGGAATGTCCTGTTGTCTGGAGTCCCTGGAGAATCGTGCCTCTAAAGCAGAGAGACTAAAACCTGTAATTAATTTAATTTTGAGTTTAAGTTTGTATTTAAACCTAAAATGTTGTTGACTCAGCTACATCACCTGGATAAATACTACCTCATCATAAAGTATCTTTAGTATTTCTCTTATCCGATGGCACCATCTAGTGGCTGACAAGCATTTCACACAAATAGTCTCTCGACCCATTTTTTTAAAAATGGGGACTTCACGTTTCTTGTTTATGAATGTGCTTCTTTAGCTGACAAAACAGAGCTAAAACACGTAGTTATTAGTATTATTCTCATGCCATGTTGAATTTTCATATATTTATATTTTGGAGACTTACTTGTCCATGAAAAGTTCATCAACTCTGCATCAGCCGAGGTAATCCTTAAATTTGAAGCACGTAAGCGGTAGTTTAACGCTATTGGTTAGTTCTGGTCGGCGCTCAGTTTCCGGAGCTCTGCGAGGCAGGGGCGTGCTGAAGCAAAAAAAATAAAAAAATAAAAAATACATTGCACATTATATTACAGTACATGATGAACAATCACTTTTACAGATTTCTGAAAAATCATACATAATTTCTGAAAGGGGAAAACTCCAGAAAGTCACTTTAATAATGCCTCCAGAAAGAATGAAACATTTTGTGCACATTTTATAACTTAAGGCCTGTGGGCCCACTAATAACATCTTGACAGCAACATTAAATATTTACTATGGATTAGGGATATTTGAAAATATTGATACGGTAAAACATTGTGATTTTTTTCTGTGATATTGCATCAATATTCAAAAGCTGTGTATCAAAACGTGTAAGAATTTACAATCATTTGTGTATTTTCTTTTCTTTTGGTGCAATTCAAACGCTGACCACTAGTTGTCAGCAGTGTGCAATAGGATTTGTTTCCACCATTTGTCGGGTTCCCCTTCCCTGCTGATGTTTTGGAGGTATTCCTTGTTTCTCTTTTTCCCTCCGCAGGGTGTGGCAGGCAGCTCTCCCAGCTGTTTCTCATCAGCTGCATCATCAGAGGAGCATGACTTCACCTGGATGGCGCCAGATGGTTCCACTACTCTCGTGATAACCGCAGGGCTCCCTGACTTGTACCTGCAGTATCCTTGTGACTTACTCCTGTGTCTTCCCTCCCAGAGATCCTGCACCAGACCAGGGGCGCCTCCAGAAAATTTTGATAGGGGTGGCCAGATGGGGCCAAAGAAAATTTTGGGGTGGTACACCAAATTGGTCCTTGTGGTAACTGGTTGAATTTAGTCTGTGGCAATGTGCTGCGTTGCGTCTTTATTTGTTTTTATTAAAATAACAGTACTCATCCAAAACATTTAACTTAAAATTTACAAACACAAACATTTTAGAAAAATATGTGTCAGTTATTTAAAATTTTATCCCAAATTTTATTTAAAAAAGCATTTTTTTAGGTGTGTGTTGCTGTGTTCACACACACACAAAAACTATGGAGATAAAAACTTATTTAAAATGGTGAGCAGCAGAAACATGTGTATTTTTTTATTCTGATTATTTCTTTACTCATTGATTGTAATATTTTATTTTGCTTTACAATTATGTCTTGAATAAACAACATCAATATATGGTTTGACTGAACATTAATCTATTGATTAAACAAGTGTTCAAGATTTTTAAGCCCTGCTACCAGCATAAGGGCCAGATGTGGACAGGAAAGCATGCAGCTGTCTCTGCTTCTGTCTTCGCGAGGGAACTGCAGATCTGTCAGAACTGGTTGTGTGTTCAATGTGATCATATTTTTTTCTCCCCAAACACTGACTCACATATCTGTAAACATCCAAGATGGTCAGACCCCTTACTCCATTAACCAGGGCATTTAAATGGTGAAGAAAGTGAACAGCAATCATGCAGCAGCACATTCCTCTCAGTGTCCAGCTGGAGGCAGCATGTCGCTTTTTGGGAAAATGTAGCTGAGAGTGCTAAGGGAACCTCTCCACTGTGAGTTTACAACCCTGGTCAGTGGGAGGAATAAAAGCCTGATGATGCAGCATCAGGGCCCTCCCATCTGGGCAGCATCATGCTTCTGTCTGCACTGTGTGCAGGACGGTGACAGAGAGGCTCATTAAGCAAGACTGTTTGGTTGATCTATTAAAGTGATGGTGTGTATTTTCCCTGGCGATAGGGGGCAGAACATTCCTAAATCATTGCAAGTAAACTGTATTTTTGTGTTCGAATAACCTTACCAACGGATGACCATTAGGGTCAAAACTCCCTGGGAGCACAACCTCCAGCAACATGATGAGAACATCAGATTCGCTTTTGTCCTGGCCGTGGAAGACTGGACCAGCTCTATGCCCTTAGGGGGGTCCTGGAAGGTGCGTGGGAGTTCGCCCAACCAATCTACATGTGTTTTGTGGATTTGGAGAAGGCGTTTGACCGCGTCCCTTGGGGGGCCCTGTTGGGGGTACTCCGGGAGCATGGGGTACCAGGCCCTCTGATACGGGCTGTTAGGTCCCTGTATGACCAGTATCAGAGCTCGGTCCGCATTGCCGGCAATAAGTCGGGCTCGTTCCCAGTGAGAGTTGGACTCCGCCAAGGCTGCCCTTTGTCACCGATTCTGTTCATAACCTTCATGGATGGGATTTCTAGGTGCAGCCAAGGTGTGGAGGGCATCTGTTTTGGTGGCCTAAGGATTGAGTCTCTGCTTTTTCCAGATGATGTGGTCCTGTTGACTCCATCAGAATGTGATCTCCAGCTCTCACTGGAGTGGTTCGCAGCCGAGTGTGAAGCAGCTGGGATGAGAATCAGCTCCTCTAAATCTGAGACCATGGTCTTGAGTCAGAAAAGAGTGGAGTGCCTTCTCCGGGTCAGGGATGAGGTCCTGCCCCAAGTGGAGGAGTTTAAGTATCTCGGGTTCTTGTTCACGAGTGAGGTAAAGACGGAGCGCGAGATCGATAGGCGGATTGGTGCTGCATCTGCTGTGATGCAGGCGTTGTACCGCAGCAACAGACACATAGTGAGCTTTACACCAAAGAAAAACAGATAAGACAAAAAAATACAAGATCTAGATAAGATAAAACAATCAGATAAAAAGACAAAGGACTGTTCTCATATACAATATGTACAAAGCATTCAAAACAGACTTAAAACTGTATTTAGGTGCTCAGAAGCAATCGCATTGACCAGAAATTATTGATTGTGATGAATTATTGAAGGTAGATAATGGAATGTAGGTAGTGAGCTTCCAGTCTTTGTAATCAGCAAACTGGAATGAGGAGCGGCCAACGGAGGTGCGAACTTTGGGAATAACCATAGAGATTAAGTTACTGGAACGTAAATTGCGCTGGTTGTTGGAAGTGATGAGTAATGAGCGAAGATACGAAGGTGTTGATAATTGTTTTTCTCAGTTACAGTTACATCCTGCCCACCAAATCAAGAGAGCTCTGTGATTGACCTGCTGATGCTCCTTTGGATCCCATTGGAACACTCAAACCCCTCCACCACATTTAGGCAGCAGCCCACTCTGGGTTTTACGTAAAATAAAATAAAAACATATTGGTTTAGATTTATCCACAGTGACAATCTCCAATATGCATCATATAGAATAAAGTGACTGTGAAAACAGTTTACCACTCAAACATGTCTACTAATTTAGCATTGACAGATATACCTTAAGGAGAGGATAAGATCTGACAGGATAAATGTAGCTTCAAAGTTTATTCTGGGATGAAAAATATCAGTATAGGTCTTATTCACTCGTGTGACCCCAAGGTGGCAGAAAAACAGAGACACATAAAAACTGGTGAAACGCTGTCACCTAGTGGTCAGTTATCTGAATTGCAGTTTGCTGTCTAGTCTTTTTAATTTTACACGATGCATGTATTAAAACATTAGGTCAGACATTTAAAAAAAGGCTTTGTTTTATTCGTTGTTTGCTGATTATGGTGAAAACATACACGATTATCAGTATAAACTAAAGCCTGATTTATGCTTCTCCGTCTGCGTCAGTGCGGAGACACGCAACGCCATTATCCGTCCTTGCGTAGGGCTCGCAAGTACGTACGGAGTCGAGCCCACTTTTTTAAACATCCGTCGAACGAGACTGATTACGCAAGCTTGTGATTGGTCAGGACGCCGCTGTTTACAGCTCCGCCATTGCGCCCTCAAAAACATAAAGAGAGCCGAGGATAACTAGCGGCAGGCACGGAGAAGCTTGAAGAATACCTCGCGAAAAAACTCTAAAAACATGAACGTTTAATTCTCCCGTGACTGGAGGAGTGAAAAGATGCGCAGTAAGCGTTTTATTTGTGGACGGAAATGACAGGAAACGTGGGTTTAGAGGTGGCGAGCGCATGAAGTGGAGAAGAATGAGAGACAAATATGTCCGTGTTAAAAGTCTCTTATATACACAAAAAACACAAAATAAACACACTATCTTGGACCGATGCATGACAGGATACCACAGAACAGCGCTACGCCCTCTGCTGTCCTGCCGGGGAATTGCTTTGCAACACTCTCCAGGAGACGGAGAAGCATGAGAGCAAAACGCTTCCGTCAATCCGTGCGTGTCTGTCCCTTGCGGAGCTGACGGAGAAGCATAAACCAGGCTTAACCCCTCACACATCAGAAGTGTTTTATACTCACAACAGCTCACACTGGTTTTGAGTATCAGCTGCTCACTGTCTGCTAAGGCAACTCTTCCGGACAAGTTCAGGGAGTTGGAGCATATCAGTCAGACTCTGGGCAGTGCATCCGTCAGCAGGACAGACAGTTCTGGATCAGCCCTGCAATCCTAGAGCCAGAGGTTTTGGGTATTCACTCCATGAAAATGAAACTTTAGTGTGTTTTAAGAGCTTACTGAGTTCTATGACCGTTATGGTGTCTCATATAGTGGTGGCTCCATAGGATGTGCACATTGCAGAAGATTTCTCTTACGTATTTAACTCGTGAGACCTACTAAGTTCAGATTCTTGTAAAAGGGGTGATATATTTATTTACTTTGTATTTGTATTTTGTATTTGTATTTATTTTTCCGTCATAACAATACATATAAAACACATGAAAAGGAAAATAATTATCAAATAAAGATCATAATAATAATTGTCACAAGTACAAATTCCTCTTGTAAATTAAACACTTCCTTTAGATATAATTTATGGTTTTTAAGATATAGGCTGAAGTTAAACTTATTTAAGCCTACCTATTAATCCATTACAAAAAATCAACAGTGTCATAAATATCAAAAGTAAATAAACATGTAAACAATACAGTCATTACATACATCATCCTAATTTCAACAAAATCAATCATGAGGTATAAACGAGCGACTAAACTCATTTTGATGTACTTGGTAATTATGTAACGCATTATTTTTAAAACTCTTTTTGAATATTTTCAACGAGCATGAATTTTTTAAATCTATCCTCGAGGCTATTCCATAAACTCACTCCTCTTACTGAGATACATCTTTTTTATTGGTTCTAATATTCCTTTTCTTTAAATCCCAGTTCCTCTTAGACTATATCCTCCTTCCCTTTGTTCAGACATCCTTTGGAGATAAGGTGGAAGTTGAGCCTGATATGCCTGATATACTAAAGTCAGTGTATGCAGGTCAATAATATCGTAAAATTTTAGAATTTTTAAATGGATAAAGATAGAGTTTGTTGGTGCATAATAGTTAGCATGGGAAATGATTTGAACTACCTTTTTTTGAAGTAAATATGGGATAAATATTTGCTCTGTAATTATTTCCCCATATTTCAATCCCATAGCTCAGATATGGTAAAATAAATGAGTTATAGAGTATCTGAAGGGATTTAATATCTAAAATAAATCTCATTCTACTCATAAGTCCTATATTTTTTGATATTTTTAACTTTATATCATCTATATGAGGCTTCCAACTCGGTTTTCCATCTATAGTAATTCCTAAAAATGTATATGTGTGTACTTGTTCAATTTCAATACCATTTATTTTTATAATAATTTCATTGTTAATTTTCCTGTTTCCAAATATAATGTACTTTGTTTTGGCCACATTCATAGAAAGTTTATTCCTGTCAAACCATCGTTTTAACACTGCCAGTTCTTTTTCAACTAAATCAACAAGCTTGTTTAGGTCGTCACCAGAACAATAAAGGCTGGTGTCATCTGCATACAACAAACAATTTACTTTATCTAGAACTGCAGACACAACCTTAGTATACATTATGAATAATTTAGATCCCAAAATAGACCCTTGTGGGACTCCGTGGGTAATGAACTCCTTTCTTGAATCAACATTATTGATATGCACATACTGGTCTCTTTTACTTGCCAACCAAGCATAAGCTGTGCCACGAATACCATATCTTTGTAGCTTTTGAAGAAGAAGTGTATGATCTATAACGTCAAAGGCCTTACTTAGGTCAATGAAGACACCCAAGGTATATTTATTTTCTTCCACTGCAGTTGTAATATCTTCAATTAAGGCCATTACTGCCATCAGAGTGGATCTCTTTGATCGGAAACCAAACTGTTCATTCAACAAGTTGAATTTTTTTTACAAAATCATCAAGTCTAGCGACAAACAATTTTTCTAAAATTTTAGAAAATTGTGAGAGAAGCGAAATAGGTCCATAATTTATGAATAAGTGTTTACTTCCATTTTTATAAATAGGGATTACTTTTGCTGTTTTCATTTGACTTGGAAAAACACCAGTACAGAATGACAGATTGCAGATATATGTAAGGGGTTTGACAATGTGACTGATAATTTCCTTTACTAACTTCATATCCAAATTACAGCAATCAGTTGAACTTTTGTTTTCAAATTTATTGACTATATTTATTATTTCAATGTCTTCTACACCCCTTAAAAATAGCGAACTGGGGTTACATTAAGATGTGGACTCAGTAATATTTTTTCATCCACTTTGATAAGTGACGTGTAGACATGATTGTTCCAGGAAAAGGTCAGTAGACCTGCACAAGGTCACAGAGTCAGGAATAGATTTTAAAGAGCAAGTCACCCCCAAATCTACTTTTTTTGCTGATAAACTAAATAAACGAGTGTCTAATCGTGCTGCAGACACGTGTCATCAATAATTTGGCACTTCAGTGCATCTTAGTTAAAATTTAAATATTCTGCCTAAAACTGTCATTGTTGTGCCGTTGTCAGGTAAAAACTCTGCACTGTATTTGAATCTAAATCTGCCACCGCTATTGGCTAAGAGGTATGCTATGATGTAAACTGGTACATTATGATGTCACAATGCTGTCGTGAGCCTGTGTGTGTGTGTATTTGTTAGCGGCTCCGCCCTCTCGGTCTGCCTGGCAACAGCATTTGTTGCATTTTTCAAACATGAAGTGGGAGTGGAGTTAGAGTCTGGAAGGGGGTGACTTGCTCTTTAAAGTTAGTAAAAACCTAAAGTAGATTTATATATATATATATTTTATTGGTTTTTGTCAGTCTGGACTGTATTCATCAATCAGATATCAGGAGCTGCAAGTCAAAGAAATAAAGTTATAAAATAATAATTAATCACATAGAAATTACCATAAAAAGTATGTATGAACAGTACTACACTAAAAACAAGTAGTTGTATTTTTTTAAATACATTTTCCCTCTTGTGCCCTGCAGCCTGTCGGGTCACTGCTGCGTGCCTGCCAGCAGGGGGCAGCACACACCGGCAGGGTCAGCCTCATCACGGGGCGGATGTTTTCGGCCCCCACCCCCCCATCCCCTACACTGGACCGCAGGCCGTGGCTGGGATCATCTGGGCCTCTGCTCCAGTAGGAACAGATAAAAACACAAAACAACGATAAAGTAGATCAGACTTTTTTTGGTGTTTTCAGTGCATCTTGTTTCGTTTGCTGCTTTATTCAAACTCCCAAAAGTTCCCGGAGATGATTTAGCTGCCTGCTGCGAGTACTTGCTCTGCGACTGCGGCAGCTTTAAACCCCGCAACCCCGCCCCTCCGACACTATCACATGAATCTGGACCGACCGAGCGCTGGATGGGAAAAGTTTACAAGTCTCGGTGAAGCGGCTCTTCTCCAACCAGCGCGTGCTGCCCCGGTTCTGGAGGATCTTTGGGTAAAAGTTTCGTGTTTTCCAGCCTGCGGGAGGGGGGTGGGGGGAGACGCGGTGGCTGCGTGAAGGTATGTGGGAGGCATGTTGTGCTCTGCTGAGATTGACTCGGTCCGTGTTTTTGACCTCTTGGTTTCGACTAGTTTAGCTGATTCTCGGTGATCTTATTCCAGCTGAGAGGTCCGAGCTTCCTCCGGACAGGAGACGCTAAAGTTCTGCTGGGTGGGGGTTCTGTCGGGCTGGGGAGGGAGGGGGTGTTGAGGCAGTAAGTGTAAACAAATCTGATCCCAGCGCCGCATGCAGACGCGTCTCCTCCTCAGATCTCCGCTGTTCACTTTACTCACACGAAACGAACTTTTCCACAGATTTTCTCTTGAGTTTCGACACCAGAACAAGTAAAAAAAAAAAACTGTTGACATGGACGCGCACCGTGGCGGCGCGCCTCCAGCGGGGCAGCAGGTCGTGCACGTCCGCGGGGACTCGAAGACGGAGCTGGAGGCCCTGTTCAGCGCCGTGATGGACCCCGGCAAGGCGTCCAGGCAGCCCCAGTCCCTGCCCATGAGGATGAGGAAGCTGCCGGACTCCTTCTTCAAGCCTCCGGAGCCCCGGGGACACTCCAGACAGGTACTGGTTAAACTGGTCACGCAGAACCATGCACATGGAAAGAAGCCAGTACCAGCATGTCTGTGGGGGTTATCTGCAACCTCTTCTGTCATTTAGAATTCTCCTTCTGAATAAAAACACCTTCTAACTGCATGAAGGTTCCGAGAGTCACGGAGAAAAAAGTTGAGTGAAATTTAGGCCTTTGAAGTGAGTCGCATATACATTTATTCAATGTTTCACTAGAGTCTAGGACATGCTTCTACTTCAAAACAGTCATCATTTATTTATTTATTTTCCCCTGATAAATCTCAAACTGGTATTTAGATATTTTGAGTTTCATATGTATGAGACTCTTATTTTGAAGGACAGAAGGAAGTTCTACCAAAGAAGCAGCCTGAAAATCATGGCTTGCATTAATAGAAAATGCCTATTTTGTATAGTTCAATGAGTGAAACCCTATCATCTAGAATGTATCTAAGTAATTATTAGTTTTGTGCAAAAGTGAGCATATTTCTACTTTTGTCTGATAATATTTCAAAATGTAGCATTTTATTTGGTGGTTTTGAGGGAAAAACTGTCCAGACTCTGGATTTAAAAGGTGACCCAGGGTTGCAATGACACCATCTGTGTTGCTGGGGGAGATTTTAATCATGCATGTAAAACATCTAGCCTAGAAATGTAGACACACCATAGCAGTAGCAGGTCGGTCTAGCCACGCCCCATTGTAGCCTCAGTAGGTCTACCATTGGACCAAACAATGTTAGGTTGGGCCAATCACAGCGCTCAGTTTGTAGAGAGATGTTGGACGGGCTGATGGTGCTTTCAATTTACCCCGGAATAGTGACATGACTCTTTGACAGGAGCCGTTCAGAAGAGAACCGTTTACCTCTAAGAGCCGTTCGAAAGACTGGCCTTTTTGAACAAAGTGGAGCAATCTCCGGGGACGGCGGCGCAACGTGTCCCACCGATCTTAAATTTAAAGTCCCATTAGTTGTCACACACACTGATGTGTTTGTGAAATTTGTTCTCTGCATTTGACCCATCCCCTGGGGGAGCGGTGAGCTACAGACACGGCCGCGCTCGGGAACTATTTGGTGGCTTAACCCCCCAATCCAACCCCTGAGTGTCAAGCAGGGAGGCATTGGGTCCCATTTTTTCAAAGTCTTTGGTATGACCCGACCAGGAATCTAACCCTGATCTCCCAGTCTCAGGGTAGACACTCTATCACTAGGTCACTGAGCTGTGTTTGTGTGGACAGTTCAAACAATTTGATTAGTTCATGAATGTTATCACTACCTTGGAACTCCGAACTGGGAACCGGGAATGATGTCATACTCTTGTTGATGTCATTCTGGTTACCTTTGTTGGAGAAGTCAGGATTCCAATACGACGATGCCCTTGAAGGCAGTTGTTTTGTCAGCTCTACAAAAACAGATGACTACCAAACACATTTGCAGCTCATCTGCTGCTTAGAGTTGGAAGCGCTTCATGTAACATTGATTTTAGATGCACACTTATAAGTGTGTCTTGTAAAATAAACACATTTCAACCAAAACATGCTCGTGATGACATGGAGAGCTGCCTGCCGTATAGGATGGTGATGTTGGGGTTCTAAAATGTTCCGACTTTCCGACTGGGAGGTCCAACTTTAAAGGATGTTTTAACCCCCCCACCCACCCCCACCCACTGTCTTCATGGGTGACCCCACGAGGAAAGTTGACCATTGAGCAGGATTGCTGGTTTATCCCTTGAGGTCCATGTGGCAGGGGTGAGGTGGTGCTCACTCCTGCCACATGGACCCAAGGGATAAACCATCAACCTTGCTCAGTGGTCAACTTTCCTCGCGGGGTCACACCCATTAGGACAGTGGGAGGGTTAATGGTAAAATCCCACTAGTTGTTACGCAACTTTTTCTCCGCATTTGACCCATCCCCTGGGGGAGCGATGAGCTGCAGACACGGCCGCGCTCGGGAACCATTTGGTGTTTAACCCCCCAATCCAGCCCTTTAATGCTGAGTGTCAAGCATGGAGGCATTGGGTCCCATTTTTTTAAAGGCTCTGGTATGACTCGACCACAGTTTTAGTTGGTTTTTCCAACTCAGAGTTCGGGATTCCCAAGTTCTGAGGACAAATTGAATGCACCATTAGCTCCAGAGTTGCAATGAATGGTGTCAGCTCAGGAATGACGCTCGTTTGAAACAACTTTGGCATCAACATTTGACGATTTAGATTTGGGCATTTCTCTGCAACGAACAGATGGAGGTGCTTAAGTCCTTTATTTGGATGTGTTTGCTTATTTTTCAGCAGTAGATCCCGCTCCACGACTGAGTTGTCAGCCGGTCATGGCCAGACTATACATTCACACGCATAGGAAGCATAGGAAGGCGAGCCAGGCTAGAATCCATCCATCCAGTTTCTGAACCCGCTTTGTCCACTTAGGGTCGGGGGGGGGGGGGGGGGGGGGGGGGGGGGTCTGGTGCCTATCTCCAGCGATCAATGGGCAATCAGGCAGGGTACACCCTGGACAGAGAGCCAGTCCATCGCAGGGCAACACAAAGACACACAGGACAAACAATCAAGCACACACACACACCTAAGGACAATTTAGACCGACCAATCAACCTAACAGTCATGTTTTTGGACTGTGGGAGGAAGCCAGAGTACCCGGAGAGAACCCACGCATGCACAGGGAGAACGTGCAAACCATGCAGAAAGATCCCAGGCCAGGAAGCGAACCCAGGACCTTCTCGCTACAAGGCAGCAGCTCTAACCACTGTGCAGCCAGGCTAGAGTCCATCTAAAGCATTGTGGGATTTGCACACAGATAAAAAGAGCACAAAGGGACCACATCTGGCCCCAGAGTCACAGGTTGTAGACCCGAGTTAGGCCCATGGTTCACAACGAGGCAAATGCAGTTATCCTTAAAGTCGGTGCAGAAAACAGGTTTTTACCCAGCAAGTATAGAAAAGTGAAAAGACACAACACGAGGATGCAACACTTTTGACTTTTACTGTGTTGGTCCAACCTGAAGAAAAACAGGCGCACCTTTTTACCTGTTATTACTGTTGCTAATCTTATTATTCAGTATTACCTCGTAACTCTTATTGCCTCTAAAGTAAAATCATTTTTCACAGAAATCTTAAATTAGTTCTTGTCGAGAACAAAGTTTTAACGTTTTTTTCTGGCACACAGTGTTGTTCCTTTATGAGTTACCGTAATAGCTGCTTATATTGTTCGTATCAAAGAGCCCCTATTGCAGATCAACAGTGTGCTGCCCACAGATGAGCCTGACTTTATTAACTCCGTAAACTCAGGTGTGGTCACCGCTGATGGACTTTAATAAAGGCAAGAAAAACGTATTTAACTGTCTGTTAGTTGCTGTTTGCTCAGAAGTAACCGATGAATAGAAGACTAGCAGTTCACACATGCCTAGTGAGCATTATGTCTTCATCCATTGGCTGCTGTAGGACTAGTGTAACATGCAAGGATGTCATGGGAGTGTAAAAAAACTCCCTAACTGAAAACGGTGTTGATGGCTGTATAATACATTTGTTTTCTCGTACTACGAAGTAAGCGGCTCCTACACAGGCACAAAGGTACTCATTTGCCACAGTCTGATTGTTGTTCCTAGGAGGGAATCTAACAAAAGTAGTCTGCAGTCTGAAGAGTCGGAGAAAAAAGTTTTTCTGTTAAGACTTTAAACTGCTAAGCATCATTTCCACGCCTGAAGTGACACCTTTCGTCTTTGTTTAACTTTCTAACATCTGACTTTTTAAAAGATGGAGGAGTTGGATTTAACTCTTCGTGCTGAAACTGTGCAAGAAGACACGTGTGTGTGTGCGCATGTGTGTGTTTGTGCTTGCATGTTTTTGTGCTTGCATGTGTGTGTGTGTGTGTGTGTGCGTGTGTGTTTGTGCATGCATGTGTGTGTGTTTGTTTGTGTGTGTTTGTGCTTGCATGTGTGTGTGAGTGTGTGTGTGTGTGTTTGTGCTTGCATGTGTGTGTGTTTGTTCGTGTGTGTGTGTTTGTGCTTGCATGTGTGTGTTTGTGCTTGCATGTGTTTGTGCTTGCATGTGTGTGTGTGTGTGTGTTTGTGCCTGCATGTGTGTGTGTTTGTTCATGTGTGTGTGTTTGTGCTTGCATGTGTGTGTTTGTGCTTGCATGTGTGTGTGTGTGTGTGTGCGTGCGTGCATGCGTGTGTGTTTGTTCGTGCATGTGTGTGTGTTTGTTCGTGTGTGCGTGCGTGCATGCGTGTGTGTTTGTGCTTGCATGTGTGTGTGTGTGTGTTTGTTTGTGTGTGTGTGTGTTTGTGCTTGCATGTGTTTGTGTGTGTTTGTTCATATGTGTGTGTTTGTGCTTGCATGTGTGTGTGTGTTTGTGTGTGTGTGTGTGTGTGTGTGTGTGTGTGTGTGTGTGTGTGTGTGTGTGTGTGTGTGTGTGTGACACAGTCAACGCTAAAAAACATCAGACTATGTTGCCTTCCTGAGCTGCTTCTGTACTTTGTCTTCAGGTTGTTTACAAGGAAAAACTGTGGAAACTCATCAGATTTGGTGAGAAGAAGGAGCAGAGAAAAGAATCGTACTCCATCATTTGGTTCTTTTTTGCACACAGTGAAATAAAGATTTGTTTTCCTTTTTTTTGCTGACAAGTTTGGGCTAACTCCGTAGCCTCCCCCGGAGCAGCGCCGGTGTTGGGTGCGTAACGTTACTTCTAACTGTGTTTAGCCGAAAGTTGTCAGCCAAAAAGGTAAAAATAAATCTTGTGCCAAAAAGAACCAAATGATGGAATTTGATAAACAACACAGAGTGGATGTTCCAACGATGTTTAAAGAATCACGCTTTCAGGTTCTGTTCTTGAGCTCAGGGTTAAAGTTACTCAGGGGGTCCTGGAACTCCTGTTTTACTACTGGGAACTGGTTTAGATTCCCGGGACACCTTTAAGTAGATCGTTTTGGTTTAGATAAGGTCACTAGTTTGGTATTAAGTGATAAACATGTTTTAAAACACGACTTTGTCATTCATGTGAAGGAACTGCTTCAGTTCCAGCTCCTCTGATCTGTGGCCTTTTCACCTCTCCTAACGTTTGTGTCTATCTGACCCATCTGTCTTTCTGCACTGCTGGTTTGTGTTTCCTATTGCAGCGTGTTACCTCACTGCAGAGTCGCTAACCCTGCTTCTTTTCCCGTCAGGCCAGTTCAGACGGAGGTGTGTGTGGCTCCCTCGCTCCTCATCACGTCCGCGCTCATTCCTCCCCTGCCTCCCTCCCCGTCAACTCCCTCACAGCACAAGCAGATGCAGATGTAGCTGCCACTCCGATCATACCCGATGACGTGCCACTCCCCGACGGTTGGGAACTGGCCAAAACGCTTACTGGCCAACGGTATTTCATCAAGTAAGCATCTGTTACTCTGCAGGTTTCCTTAAAGAGTTTTTCCTTTAGAAAAATCTTACCATGAAAACGTTTTGGTTTAAGGAACAAGTTCACAGAAAAGCAGTTTTATTACTTGTTTTATTTTTTTTATGGTCGGTCACGCTGAGTTTAACATGTTGTGACCGCACTCAGGAACTATTTGGTGGTTTAACCCCCCCAATCCAACCCCTTAAAGCTGAGTGTCAAGCAGGGAAGCATTGGGTCCCATTGGTATGACCCGATTGGGATTTAGAACCCAGATCTTCCGGTCCCAGGGTGGACCAAAGGTGACAGATCATTTGCTGCTGTGGACCCCAGACTCTGGACCTCTCTCCCCCTGAGCCTGAGATCAGTGGACTCAGTGGTCTCCTTTAAAAAGCAGCTGAAACTCACCTGTTCAGGCTTTGGCGTGACCTTCATCTCCATCCTCTCCTTATTCTGGTCTTTCCACTTATTCCGCCTTTCCCGCGATCCACTGATTTCCCTCTTTCCTGTTCATTTTCTCTCTACTTTTCCTTACATTATTTATTTATTTTTAATCACAGGGGAAAAAAAGTTTTTCTCATTTTGAACAATTTTTTTATCTATTTTATCTTTTTTTTTATTTTTACTTTAGTCTTTTTTTTGTTTTTGTTTTTTGTTTATGTGAAGCGCCTCGTGATTTTTATCTTGAGAGGCACTATATGAAAGATCGTTTTCTTTCTTTCACTCTACCAATCAGTTTTATATTTCAGCCCAAGAGCGTTATTATATCTCCATCTTCAGGTTAAAACTCTGCTCCACGTGGATTTAGAAGCAGCTGTGGCTGATGGCTACAGGTGCAGGGTGGCGTTGTCTGTACGGTCCTATGTGGCTACACTGCTCTGGACTCCAGCTGAGTCTCCAGCTGGCACAGCCACTCACCTGCTGATATGACACGTTATGGCTCAGCCGCTTGCCTCCTTAAATCCTCCAGCATGCTGCAGTTTCTGTGTTTACTCGTTCTCCTGAGCAGTGAGTCTGCTGTGTGTATGTATTTGTGTGTACACGTGAGTGTGTGCACGCTTGTCGACGACTCGTTTTTCCAACCGAGAAGCTCAGAGAGCATGTGGGGGGGGGGGGGGGGTGCTGTCAGTCCCTGCCTCAATGCAGCTCTCTCGGTCTGCCAAGCGACGCCCCATTTAGGCGCATTTTTCCAACAGGAAGTGTGGGTGAAACGAGTCTCACCCATGGTGACTTACTCTATAACTTCTAGTTCCTGAAACAGGAGCGCCAGAGCTTTTTCCCCACAGAGATCGACTCACAGGCCATTAGATTATAGTAGAGACCACTACAGTTGTACTGGAAAAACAAGTGAACTTGGTCTTTAATAAATAACCAATAGAATGTTTAATTTTAGTTTGTCAGGTGACCATTCATCCTAAAACGTGTTTTGTTTTTAAGTAAAAGCAGCAGATTTATGTCTTCCTCTAATAACTTGTTCTCAGTAAGTGCAGTTATCACCACGATTAAAACTCATCCATCGCATTCAAACAGGAAATGGCTCAACTAGTTCTTCTAGCAGTTTGGTTTCATGCGAGCACATTTCCTGCCAAAGGTTTACAGCAGCCTTGTTTGTCTGTATGAGTGTAGACTCATCTGGTAGTGCAGGTAAAGCAGGTCTGAGGCAGACCTCTCCTTACCTTTCAGGTTCCAGTGGTTTAACAGATGCAGATGCGTTTAGACATGTTGTGTGTTTGCAGTCACCTGGAAAAGACAACCACATGGCTGGACCCCCGGCTTTCACAGCTTCAGTCCACTGCAGCCCAGCACCCCATCTCCTGCGCCCCAATCCACACCCACTCCTTCAGCAACCCAGCTCCCACCACGCAAGCACAACACATCCATCCAGAGACAGGTATCGCACCAATCTGCTCTCATTTCTGCCCCGCCTCACCATCCTGTTTCATGCTAGGCACAAATCAGAGATTTCCTTCTTTGCGGCGCGGGATGTCTTTGGGTTTCCTTCCAGTCTCTTCGTTTATACCTCTTGGGACGTTGGTGGGAAATAAGTAATAATTAGTCTATAGCCATCACCCTAATGCCTTATGGAGATGCTGAACTAAGTTAGGTGTTTTTCTAATTGTCTGAATATTTAGATAACAGTCTTTTAAAGGGTCGGTTCATGCAAATTACGAAAGAGAACCTGCTAGACTTGCATTACAGTGAATTATGATGCAGCACATAATTATTGTTTAAAGAGAATAAGTTCACACGTTTAAAGCCAGATTTGAACCAACACCCTTTTGAAGAAAAATGGCAAAGGGTTTGAAAAAATAGTTTCAGCCATTACTGTGATTTTGCTTTAGGGCTTCCCCGTAGGAAGAGTGGTGAGATAAGAGCTGAAAAATCAAGAAAAACGTCTAAAAATATTTAAAGAAAAATACTATTATTTATATATTTCCAAGAAAACATACCTTGTGCTCAAGAACTTCATTTAGTTTTAGTCTTGAATAAAGTTCTTTTTAATTTTACTCACAATTTAGTCGACTAAAATAAATATAATTTTCTTCTGATGCAAAAATGCTCAACTTCTGTGAAGGAAATGTTAACTACTAGGGATGTCCCGTTCCGATATTGATATCGGAAATCAGCCCAAAAAATACTTATCGGGCTGCATTAGCAGTCCGTTCAGCTTTAAAGTCCATTCCAGCTCTTCTGTCCACCAGCGCCCAGATCCAGCATGCAGAGTCCACGTGATCAGAACAGTGTGTGTTAGCAAAGCAAGGAACCATGTCGGCCATGTGGCTGCACTTTTCGTTAAAGTCTGAAAAAGACAGTTTGGCTCAGTGCAACACTTGTCATGCACCAGTTTCCCGTGGTGGAACAGAACCGGGGAAGTTGAATACCTCATCCTGCATTAGAAGCAGGATCACAAAACATTGCATGAGGATTTTCTCTGTGTTTGAAATTGAAACTTTAGACACTCTACTTGTAGCGGTTGGTCAGTGAACAATATTGTGTTTTTCTCCTTATGTCCCCGACCTCAGATGTTCACATTTATGCTACTGAAGGTTAGTAAAAAATTGGTCAGTTATTTATAATTACTGTTGCTGGCTTTCGTTTTCTGTTTGAGTAATATCACTTGATCAAGCCTTTTAAACACCCCACACTATGAGACCGGGAAAAGTGTTTGATTTGTGCTGATATCGTATCGGATTGATATCGGTATCGGTCGGTACTGAAGGCTGCAATATCTGTGTCTTTCAGTACTGAAGGCTGCGATATCTGTGTCGGTCAGTACTGAAGGCTGCGATATCTGTGTCGGTCAGTACTGAAGGCTGCGATATCTGTGTCGGTCAGTACTGAAGGCTGCGATATCGGTGTCGGTCAGTACTGAAGGCTGCGATATCGTTGTCGGTCAGTACTGAAAGCTGCAATATCGGTGTCGGTCAGTACTGAAGGCTGCGACATCGGTGTCTGTCAGTACTGAAGGCTGCGATATCGGTGTTGGTCAGTACTGAAGGCTGCGACATCGGTGTCGGTCAGTACTGAAGGCTGCGATATCGGTGTCAGTCAGTACTGAAGGCTGCGATATCGGTGTCGGTCAGTACTGAAGGCTGCGATATCGGTGTTGGTCAGTACTGAAGGCTGCAACATCGTGTCGGTCAATACTGAAGGCTGCGATATCGGTGTTGGTCAGTACTGAAGGCTGCAACATCGTGTCGGTCAGTACTGAAGGCTGCGATATCGGTGTTGGTCAGTACTGAAGGCTGCGACATCGGTGTCGGTCAGTACTGAAGGCTGCGACATCGGTGTCGGTCAGTACTGAAGGCTGCAACATCGGTGTCTGTCAGTACTGAAGGCTGCGATATCGGTGTCTGTCAGTACTGAAGGCTGCGATATCGGTGTCTGTCAGTACTGAAGGCTGCGATATCGTTGTCGGTCAGTACTGAAAGCTGCGATATCGGTGTCGGTCAGTACTGAAGGCTGCGACATCGGTGTCGGTCAGTACTGAAGGCTGCGATATCGGTGTTGGTCAGTACTGAAGGCTGCAACATCGGTGTCGGTCAGTACTGAAGGCTGCGACATCGGTGTCGGTCAGTACTGAAGGCTGCGATATCGGTGTCGGTCAGTACTGAAGGCTGCGATATCGGTGTCGGTCAGTACTGAAGGCTGCGACATCGGTGTTGGTCAGTACTGAAGGCTGCGATATCGGTGTTGGTCAGTACTGAAGGCTGCGATATCGGTGTTGGTCAGTACTGAAGGCTGCGATATCGGTGTCGGTCAGTACTGAAGGCTGCGATATCGGTGTCAGTCAGTACTGAAGGCTGCGATATCGGTGTCGGTCAGTACTGAAGGCTGCGATATCGGTGTTGGTCAGTACTGAAGGCTGCAACATCGTGTCGGTCAATACTGAAGGCTGCGATATCGGTGTTGGTCAGTACTGAAGGCTGCAACATCGTGTCGGTCAATACTGAAGGCTGCAATATCGGTGTTGGTCAGTACTGAAGGCTGCGATATCGGTGTTGGTCAATACTGAAGGCTGCGATATCGGTGTTGGTCAGTACTGAAGGCTGCGATATCGGTGTCGGTCAGTACTGAAGGCTGCGATATCGGTGTTGGTCAGTACTGAAGGCTGCGATATCGGTGTTGGTCAGTACTGAAGGCTGCGATATCGGTGTTGGTCAGTACTGAAGGCTGCAACATCGTGTCGGTCAGTACTGAAGGCTGCAACATCGTGTCGGTCAGTACTGAAGGCTGCGATATCGGTGTTGGTCAGTACTGAAGGCTGCAACATCGTGTCGGTCAGTACTGAAGGCTGCAACATCGTGTCGGTCAATACTGAAGGCTGCGATATCGGTGTTGGTCACTACTGAAGGCTGCGATATCGGTGTTGGTCAGTACTGAAGGCTGCGATATCGGTATCAGTCAGTTCTGAAGGCTGCGATATCGGTGTCGTATCGGAAGTGAATAAGTTGTATCGGGACATCCCTATTAACTGCACCCACTCAAAACTGTAAAAAAAAAAATTCTCATTTCACAATTGGGATAAATAAAACTCTTTAATTGTTTCAATAAAAATAATTAGTGTTGTGTACCAAAATGCACACTGGCAGTTTGAAATTGGACCTCTCATTATTAATAAAGTTAATCATCCATCTATTTTTCTCCACTTGTATGGTGTCGGGTCATAGAGGCAGCAACCTAAGCAGAGAGACCCAGACTTCCCTCTCCCCAGACACCTGGGCCAGCTCCTCCAGGGGAATCCCAAGGCGTTCCCTGGCCAGCTGTGAGACAGTCTCTCCAGCGTTTCCTGGGATTTCCTTTAGGTCTCCTCCCAGTTGAGTGTGACTGGAAAACCTCACCAGGGAGGCTTCCAGGAAGCATCCTAACCAGATGCCTGAGTCACCTCAACTGTCTCCTCTTCATGTGGAGGAGCAGCAGATCTACTCTGAGTCCCTCCCAGATGACCAAGCTTTTTTTTTTTTAACCATACTTTTCAGACAAGATATTACACAACTTATAACCAGGCAAATCATGACTAGGATAAAAATAACAGGTGCAAGACATTTTAACAAGAGTTGATACCAATTACCAGTAGTCAGCCAATTCATCACGTTCCAGGATCCTCCAGTCGATTCTTTGGATTTCAGGAAGTTGCTAGAGGGGGAAAGTTAATGCACGCAGCTCTAACTGTGGCAGAGCTGAGGTCAAAGGGCTTGTCCGTGGACTGGAAACTGTAGTTTGAGCAAAACAACGTCCTCTTCAGGATGGTGTTGCATTCTTGTGGTTTTGAAGTGGGGAAAGGTGATGCAGAAGAGTTTTACCTAACACACCCTATCTCTAAAGCCATTTTTACAAAACAAAGCTGTCGATTTGCCGCAACGCTGAAGCGGCATCAGGGAGCCTTTGGTCGTTTATAAGTGGTCAGGTCAGACAGACGTTTACCGCAATATTACGTCCAAGGGGGGGCGGAACAAATGCTGCAACATTCGCGCATGGAGCGTGTCTGGGATCACACGAAGAGACGGGTGGATGTGAGAACGCCCACGTCCACAGAAGATCTTTGGTTAGTTCTCCCAGATGTTTGGACCAACCTACCGGCCCAGTTCCTTCACCAATGGTGTGCATGTGTAGCTGGAAGAACTGGGTTCACACCACTGGTTTGATTCTGATTTCTCTTTTGTTCATTCACTGCTTTTTGTTGACTGATAGAAATAAACGATTAACACTTGAGTTTCTGAAAGCATCTTTGTTGGCAGCATTTGTTCACACCTGCCTAAAACATTAGCACAGTTATTGTGTATTGTATATGTGTCTAATCTAAAATGCATCAGCAGAGTTAAACCATGGAAGAAGTGCATGAATATAACCAGGAAGGAACCGTTTCTGAGGTGGTGAGACCACAGGGCTGAGAGCACATTTCTTGGTAGATCTGATCTTTGATGACCTTTAACCTTCATGTTTTAGTTCCTGCTCCCAACACACCTGATTCAGCGCTGTTCAGCACTTCCTCAAGTTCTCCAAAAGCCTGTTAGTCATCACTAGGGTTTGGGCATCTTTTGATTTTGAACGATTCCGATTCCAATTCCTCGTTTCGATTCCAGTTCCTATCGATTCCTGATTCCGATTCTTTCAAGACATGACATGTTTTACATGAGCTAGCTAACCACAGGTCCTACTTGATGAAACGATCTTAACTTCATGAATTTTAATTCTATGAACAATAACATCACCTTCATTTAGACAAAAACATGTTTTGGAGACAAAAAGAAAAAGACTTGCAGCACAACCAGTGTGTTTGTTTCTGACCACAACCAAAGTCTGGAAGAAGCCTCTGGGATGAGAGGCTAAATGTCTCCAACGTATCCAGAAACGTCCAGCTGTTTTCAGCTACAACTCTCAGGATGATCATGTCCAGGATGACTGAGAACTACACCTCCATGCTGCTGCAGCATTCAGTCAGAACAGGAAGTGAAACTTAAATGTAGCTGCTGTCAGTAACGATCTAACAGATTTTAAACATTAAAACTCAACAGAAACAGTTCAGAAAGGAACTTAAAATGTTCACAAATTTGTGTGTGATTTTTTATTATTAATATTATTATTATTATTTATTGTGGCAGAAGCTGGTGTGGTCCATCACAGAGAAGCTGCTCTAGCATGATGACTTTAATTATTCTACAGGTTATTGTTCAGCCTTCTGACGCTCACACACACACACACACACACGAGTGTTGGTGAGTGGCTGCGTCCGACTGCTGACGCTCCGTGTGTGTTTTTATTTCTGCAGTGAGACAAACTCACCTCACACCGTCCAGAGTTTGTTCTTTAAAGCTTCTATTAAATCCACCGTGTTGACGTCTTTTAACACGTTTCCTCTACGCTGCAGGAGTTAAAGCTTACATTATGGAGTAAAAGTTCGGCAGATGCATTTGTGATCAGCTCTGAAAAGTGTTGATCACAATTTGCAGATCACGTTTATGTTTCACGGAGATCGGCTGCGGATTCCTCTCCCGGTCGGCATTCTAGGAATCGAAATAAAAAACTTTGAACGATTCCAGGAAAAACTAACAGTTGGAACCGGCTCCAATCGATGTTCGATGCCCTCACCTTGATTTAAAAGTAGAGACATGTCTCAGACATGCAGGACAGTGGCCCTCGAGGCACAGGATTGGACACCAGCGCCGTGTCAACTGATCCTAAACCAGGCTGTGGCACCTCTGTCCATCAGCACCACACTGCAGAGATTCTCGCAGTATCTGATGGGAGGAACTGTCCAACTAGGAAGTATTCATTCTCTTTCGTTGTGTAATTTGGTTGAACGGACCCTTTAAGTAGAAGCTTCTCAATCTCTCTTTTACCCAGCACCCTGGTTCTTTCTAATATTTCATTCACACACACAAACCTTCACTCTTACTAATAAAAGTTATGCAAAATGGCCGAACATTCAAGGACAGGAACCAGATTTGACTCCATTCTCTCCATCTACCATTTGCCTTCTCACTGTGTACTTTCGCTGCTGTTCAGGTCCACTGCCTGAAGGCTGGGAGCAGGCTGTGACTGCAGATGGAGAGGTGTACTACATCGATCACATAAATAAGAACACCACATGGGTCGACCCGCGTCTAGGTAGCACACTATATCAAATTTGTGTCTCCTGAATTGACAAGTCTTCTTTGTCAGTGAGAAATTTTTATTTTTCTCTCCATTGTCCACCATCACAGGCTGTCTCTTTGGCAGCAGAAACAGAGATCGCAAAGTTATTTGAAAAGTTCTCCTGTAACTGCTGAACTGTCATCTCATCAAAAAAAATCACACGTTAAAGAGACAGACTAGTATATCTATTTATACATGTATGTATTTTATAATAAAGTATGTATATTTTATATATATGTCTTTATATTTTGTGTTGCAGCTCAGAAGATGAACCCAGCCATCCTTGGCTTGGCAATGCAGCAAAGGCAAGAAAAGGAAAGGCTCAGATGCAAGCAAGGCCTTCCTCCTCAGATCACACCACAGGTCAGAGGTCAAATAAAGTGGCACTTTAGGGAGTTTTCCAGAAATTCTTACAGTTAACTTATCTAAACTATGAGTACTGTATAAGGTAATAAGTGCAGATGCTGGTTTTATTTTGGTAGGATGCAGCAGGAAGGAACCAGATTCCCAGGGGCATGGACCACGACAGGAGCGCACAAATGCTGGTCCCATCGGTGGATGCCAGAATCCGAGCCCTGAACCAAGAACCTACTCTCAACGGGTGAGTGTTAGTCACTACAGCTATAGAGTTACTCAGCTTTCCATCGGATGCGTAAGCGGCGAGCTACATGATGGACTCCTTTTCCCTGCAACCTCAGCGGTGCGCCCCTTCCTACCCTTCCTCCAAACACACCCACATCACCCCGCTTCTCCTCCAGCTTCACTGGCTGCCAGTCAACTTCAGGGTTCATTTCAAGATCCTGGTTCTGGTCTATAGGGCCTTACATGGACAAGCTTCATCTTACATTGGTGATCTTCTTAGTCCCTACACCCCCAGCAGGTCCCTGAGGTCCAGTGATCAAAGCCTAGTGGTTGTGCAGCACCAGGCTAAAGGTCAAAGGTGACAGATCATTTGCTGCTGTGGCCCCCAGACTCTGGAACTCTCTCCCCCGAGCCTGAGATCAGTGGACATATCTCTGGACTGACCCTACATGTCTCTGGTCTGACCCTAAATGTCTCTGGTCTGACCCTACATGTCTCTGGTCTGACCCTAAATGTCTCTGGTCTGACCCTACATGTCTCTGGTCTGACCCTACATGTCTCTGACTGACCCTACATGTCTCTGACCCTACATGTCTCTGGTCTGACCCTACATGTCTCTGACTGATCCTACATGTCTCTGGTCTGACCCTACATGTCTCTGGTCTGACCCTACATGTCTCTGGTCTGACCCTACATGTCTCTGACTGACCCTACATGTCTCTGGTCTGACCCTACATGTCTCTGGTCTGACCCTACATGTCTCTGGTCTGACCCTACATGTCTCTGACCCTACATGTCTCTGGTCTGACCCTACATGTCTCTGGTCTGACCCTACATGTCTCTGGTCTGACCCTACATGTCTCTGGTCTGACCCTACATGTCTCTGACTGACCCTACATGTCTCTGACCCTACATGTCTCTGGTCTGACCCTACATGTCTTTGACTGACCCTACATGTCTCTGGTCTGACCCTACATGTCTCTGGTCTGACCCTACATGTCTCTGGTCTGACCCTACATGTCTTTGACTGACCCTACATGTCTCTGGTCTGACCCTACATGTCTTTGACTGACCCTACATGTCTCTGGTCTGACCCTACATGTCTCTGGTCTGACCCTACATGTCTCTGACCCTAAATGTCTCTGGTCTGACCCTACATGTCTCTGACTGACCCTACATGTCTCTGACCCTACATGTCTCTGGTCTAAACCTACATGTCTATGTTCTGACCCTACATGTCTCTGGTCTGACCCTACATGTCTTTGACTGACCCTACATGTCTCTGGTCTGACCCTACATGTCTCTGGTCTGACCCTACATGTCTCTGGTCTGACCCTACATGTCTTTGACTGACCCTACATGTCTCTGGTCTGACCCTACATGTCTCTGGTCTGACCCTACATGTCTCTGGTCTGACCCTACATGTCTCTGACTGACCCTACATGTCTCTGACCCTACATGTCTCTGACCCTAAATGTCTCTGGTCTGACCCTACATGTCTCTGACTGACCCTACATGTCTCTGACCCTACATGTCTCTGGTCTAAACCTACATGTCTATGGTCTGACCCTACATGTCTCTGGTCTGACCCTACATGTCTCTGACTGACCCTACATGTCTCTGACCCTACATGTCTCTGGTCTAAACCTACATGTCTATGGTCTGACCCTACATGTCTCTGGTCTGACCCTACATGTCTCTGGTCTGACCCTACATGTCTATGAATGACCCTACATGTCTCTGACCCTACATGTCTCTGGTCTGACCCTACATGTCTCTGACCCTACATGTCTCTGGTCTGACCCTACATGTCTCTGGTCTGACCCTACATGTCTATGAATGACCCTACATGTCTCTGGTCTGACCCTACATGTCTCTGACCCTACATGTCTCTGGTCTGACCCTACATGTCTTTGACTGACCCTACATGTCTTTGACTGACCCTACATGTCTCTGACTGACCCTACATGTCTCTGGTCTGACCCTACATGTCTCTGGTCTGACCCTACATGTCTATGACTGACCCTACATGTCTCTGGTCTGACCCTACATGTCTATGACTGACCCTACATGTCTATGACTGACCCTACATGTCTCTGGTCTGACCATACATGTCTATGACTGACCCTACATGTCTTTGACTGACCCTACATGTCTCTGGTCTAAACCTACATGTCTCTGGTCTGACCCTACATGTCTTTGACTGACCCTATATGTCTATGACTGACCCTACATGTCTCTGGTCTGACCCTACATGTCTCTGGTCTGACCCTAAATGTCTCTGGTCTGACCCTAAACGTCTCTGGTCTGACCCTACATGTCTCTGGTCTGACCCTATATGTCTATGACTGACCCTACATGTCTCTGGTCTGACCCTAAATGTCTCTGGTCTGACCCTACATGTCTCTGGTCTGACCCTACATGTCTATGACTGACCCTACATGTCTCTGGTCTGACCCTACATGTCTATGACTGACCCTACATGTCTTTGACTGACCCTACATGTCTCTGGTCTAAACCTACATGTCTCTGGTCTGACCCTACATGTCTTTGACTGACCCTATATGTCTATGACTGACCCTACATGTCTCTGGTCTGACCCTACATGTCTCTGGTCTGACCCTAAATGTCTCTGGTCTGACCCTAAACGTCTCTGGTCTGACCCTACATGTCTCTGGTCTGACCCTAAATGTCTCTGGTCTGACCCTACATGTCTCTGGTCTGACCCTACATGTCTATGACTGACCCTACATGTCTCTGGTCTGACCCTACATGTCTATGACTGACCCTACATGTCTCTGGTCTGACCCTACATGTCTATGACTGACCTTACATGTTTCTGGTCTAAACCTACATGTCTCTGGTCTGACCCTACATGTCTATGACTGACCCTACATGTCTCTGGTCTGACCCTACATGTCTCTGGTCTAAACCTACATGTATGTTTATCGTGGCCAGCATAGCTGATTCTCTGGCATCTTGGCCAAGTTTCTCTGAACAGGAATTGTATTTAATCGTATTTTCTCCATTTATAGCTTGAATGGTGCAAGGAATATTATGCAAAACTGACCTTGTGCATCCTTTTGGCTGCCATGTTGGTCTCTACTGCTTAACATAAAAAAAATCAGTCTGTCCGTTTTCTGTCTGATTTTGGTTTATGAACTGTAGACATGGACAACACTGTTGGTACCCTTCAGTCAACGAAAGCCTCAATGGTCACAGAAATAACATTAATCTGACAAAGTAGCAACAAAAAAACATTGTTATGAAATTTAAACAATGAAAGTCAGACATTGCTTAAACCCATGCTTCAATGGAATTATCTAAAAATAAACTAATGAAGCAGGCCTAGACAAAGATGAGGGAACCCCTCGAAAAGACATGTTAGCTCAACAGTTACTGATGGAAAGGCCTTCCACCTGAATGGATTAGAGTTGCATTGAATAGGGCTGTAAGAAAAGGGATAAAAGGCCATCAAGGTATGATGTGGCTGACATGAGAATTTGTACTTCCAATTCCAAGGCAAGGGTGAACTTTCAACTTCAGGTTAGAAGAGAGGCTTTTCCTCAAATGGAAGAGTTGAAATATCTATGGTTTTGTTTCTGACTGAAGGCAGGAGGGAGCAGGAGACTGACAGGTGGGTCGGAGCAGCGTATGCTGACACTGAATCCGTTAGAACAAGAGCATGAACACAGATGGCTGAAAAGAGATTCCTTCACAGGGTGGCGGGGCTAAGAGTGGTCCTGTTGAGTAGAGCGGCTGCTGGTTTGGTTAGAAAGCTAGCATCCATATGCCTTCCCTTATTGGATGTTGATGAAAGCAATGAGAGGTGTTTTGTCTAATATAAAGAAAACACTTTAATTTTATCAAAGAGCATGAATGCACTGGTAAAGCATGGTGGTGGTAGTATGATGGTTTGGCTCTTGTTTCTCTACAGCTGAGCCTGAAGAGCTTGACGTCATTAATGTCATGCTTGCAGTAAATCATCAGTGATTCTTCAGTCTGTGTTTTGTCTCTTCAAGTTAATAGAAGTGTTGTTGAAAGACAGAAAGTTATTTATAAACTTCGTCCTCTCAGATATGTAAACGGGATAAATTCCCTATAGATCTTTTGAGTGTTGATTATTTGTTTTCTCCCACAGGGCTCACTCTCGTAACGAGAGCACCGACAGCGGTCTGAGCGTCAGCAGCCTCCCACGCACATCAGATCACTTGCTGAGCTCCGTGGATCATATGGACACTGGTAGGACACACGAAATGTTGTAATTAGGAGTTTGTGATGGGACTGCATCAGACAAAAGCTAGAGTTTTAGGACCTCATCATATTCCTCCAGGACAGTAGCTTCAATTTTATTCCCTGCTTGAATTCAAACTTTCAATTTAAAAGAATGAATTAAAAAGTACAAAAGGGGAACTTCCTCTTGTTTGTGAAAGATTTAAAACAAACTATGGATCCAACTCGTTTAGGTGACTCCAGCGAGCCTTCGTCAGTGACCATGCAGGAGACGATGCCCGTGCTGCCAATAACTGAAGGTGAGGAGCTGATGCCCTGCATCCCCGATGGTTTGAATTCAGACCTCCTGATGGACATGGAGACCGTTCTCTCTGGGCCACACATGGACAGAGACAGCCTTCTCACCTGGCTATAGATGTCCACCACCTGCTCAAGTATGCTTTAACATTACATGACTGAGAAATTCTGGAGGACTTTTGGATTCAAACTTGGTACAGAGAACAAGTTTCTGACATTCACTCCCTGAAGAATGAATGAGAAACAAATGTAGACTCACAGAAGATGGTGGGCTGCTGGTTTTCTCCTTTTTGGGGTCTTGTTAGATGGATACACCAGTCGTTGACATGATGGTGTGTTTAAAAGGTGAGTTTTAAAACATTACGCCCATTTTTCACATTTATTGGCAGCAAACCAGGGTCATATCTAGAAAAGTGTTGCTTTTATACGAACTTAACCACATAAACCGTGTTAGGAAAGAAGTCTCATATCTACTTTGTTTCTTACATAACCTGCAGGAACAATCAGCTAAATTTAGTTCTAAACAATCACAAACTTTTGAATTTGTTACACATGTTCACAGACGTAGTCCTCTCTGTGCATTAACACTTGAAACACCCGTTGATCCCATTCGTTACTCAAAACCCCGCATTTAAAATATGACATAAAGGTCATGGTCTGAAATGAGCCAAAAAGATCGAAGCGAGTATTACCAACAAGTGCAGATTTGTTTAAATGTGTCTTCTCTCAAAAAAGCGGCAGACAAAGGATGTCTTCTGAAAACAAACACATGATCCAGCTCAGTGCAGCCGATTCCTCCGGTCGTTAGTTGGTTTCAACTTCTGTCCCTTTTTCTGCTCCAGTGAATGATTTTTCTATAAATGACTAAAGTGTGTTTATTATTATTTACCACAGTTGTAAGACGGTTTCTGAGAACTGCTGCCTATCAGAAGGTTGCTTCATTTTCTGTAGGTCAACCTGCTTTTCTGGAAACAGCGACCTCTAGTGGATGCCTGGGCCTCCTTCCTCCTCTAACCCCTCATGTGGACATTAAATTCTTCAGTTTTTCTAGTGACGGCTTTAAACATTCCTAAGATCCACTTCCTTTTTGAAACTTTAACTCATTTAATGACTCTTTTGTTTTTACCAGCTGTGGTAAACACTGTTCCCTTGTCGTAGACCACACACCGACTAACCCCCTGACTGATTCTCTGGAGTTTTGACGCTCTCCTTTCAGTCATCTGTTTGTTTTCAGCTTTTAAAAGCGATTTACTTTGTTTCTGCCTGGTGATGAAGCCACTACAGCACCGTGCTCAAGAGAAATCAAGCTCTTCAAACCAAAACGAGTTAAATGAGATGAGGTGAATGGCACGATCCTTTAAAACTACAAATCTGTACATTTTAAATTGTACTTCAGTCATTTAGAATTGTGAAAAAAGAATTATGCATTTAAAACTATTTGTTATTTGGTTGCCCTGGTATGGAATAGCATCTTTTTGGGGGGGCACTCATGCATTTGTGGATTTCATGTGATGCAAGAACAATCAAGGCAGGATTTTAGCGGCCTCCACTGACAAACAAGTGTTTTTATTATTATTAAATTGTTTGTTTACCACAACTTTACAGAACAACGATTCCTTGTGATCTTTGACATTAATAAATCATCACACCAACTGTGCTTTTAGATATTGTATTCTAATTTCAAACTCAATCAGGTGCAGGCAGAGCTCTTTTCTTCTCCTGTAACAAGCATATCGTCTGTTTTACCTGCTTGTTTTTGTTCTTTCTTGCACTGTGTCTATTTTTGAGTTGACTGTTGAGATGTTAGCTTTTGGTGAGAGCATTTCTCCTAGCCACCTTTCTTGTTTTTATTGTATTTTAAATATATGCATGGAGGAATAAGCTTCACCACATCCAGAATGGAAAGCCGGTCTGCTCATCCTGATCTAAGTGCCAAAGACGTGATCACACACACTCTCACACACACACACACACACACACACACACACACACACACACACACACACACACACACACACACACACACACACACGATGAAACACACTACCTAGCCTTTTATTTATCTTAGCATGCATGACACTTGCAATGTACTGTTTGTTGCATATAATGACATTTATTATTCTATTCACAAGAGTTTTGAAGCTATCAAACCTTTTTTACTTGTTTATGCATGATTTTCAGTGTAACCATTTTTAAAGGAGTTTCTGTTTAATAAACCTTTAAATACACCAGAGTACATTTTTGTTTTTCTAACATGAGGTGTGTCATTTATATTGTACAGCTAACCCTGACCCGCCTGGACGTGACACAGCTGAAGCAGCAAAGGTGTAACCGGATCTTTTCTGCACTAATGTTGAAGGATCGCCGTGAAACTGTTCGTCTTTGAAGTTCGTTTTTTCTGACGAGCAACAAAGCAAACTGCATTAGAGGCCGGGCAGATCTCAGGAGGAACACAGTTTATAAATACATAAACATCTTTTATATATTTGACATACCTGACGAGCTCTTTCAACACAAAACCAGCTACGCTAAAGCCTGCCCGCTCAAATTACAGAACATATTGTGTGTAATTATATAGAAAGAAACCAATTTAACTTTGTTACAAAGGCACACGTGTCTTGAGATGGCTATATCTTATTGGTATCTGGACATGTGGGGCGGATACTTAACTTTTGTGTTCAGTCGTGAGACTTGGCTCAGACAAACTCTATGGCTGTTAACTTCAGCTGGAAACCTGTAAAATTTTACATTACAGTGGTCCCTCATTTATCGCAGGACTTATGTTATAAAAATAACCTGCAGTTGTCAATTCGGGAAGAAGTCGGCTTCATTTTTCGTTTGATAGATGCACAGCTTTGTTGCTGGGGTTACACACACATGAAAACACACCAGAATGTCAGGTTCTCCACAGTTGTACTTTTAGCATGGGTGAACAGTTTTGTTTGCACACACTCACACACACACACCAGCATTTCAGTCTCTCGTTGTCACATTGTAGAGACTCACGTCTCCTCCTGTATTTGAAGACGCAGCGTGCACTCCTCTCCTCCGCACACGTGCACGTCCCAGCGCACCGCCACAATGTTTTAAGGCTGTAAAACCCCTCACTTCACGCTTTATACCCTCTTCTCAGACAGGCGTTAACAGTTCCCGTCAGACAAATGACCTGCATGTCAACCACGCCACTGTAGGGGGTTAAATATGTTGCTTTTAAGCTTAATATATTACCTTTACTTGTGACCAATAAGCTGGGATATTCTATATAAATATAGGATATCAACCTTATTAGTCTTTGAATGTTTAATCAGAAGATTCTAGGATTCTTTGTTTATTCAGGGATCTAACAAACTTCGTATCAATTCAGTCAGGTTTATAAAAGATAAGAAATTTATTTTCTAAACAATTAAAAACATGACAAGTTAACTAAGACGACTGTGATGGATGAATCTAAGTGGATGGGATGTGATGTGTGGTGACTGAATAATGTGTGTTTGTCAGAACCTTGTATCTAGAAGAACTGAGTTCTGGGTGTGAAAAGAATTTGGTTTGCATTAAACTATGAAGTTGGTTCTTATCTAAACAGCATCAGACGCAATCGTGTGTCTACCTCACCCTTTCTTTGGAGACCCTCTTCGCGGATCCGGAGGTCAGGGAGGTCGGATGACCTCTGGGCACCGAGGTTCAGTAGATTAACCGCAGCACCGACCTCCAGTCCAGAGATGTCGCCGGGCACACAGGTTGCGTCTAGAGCGGCTGTTTCTGAATAGCTGAAGGAACCGTTTTGCTGTGTCACTGCAGGCAGCTTTTAGCTTGTCATGAGATGTGGTATGAGCAGAGTTTTCCTCCGATGGCCAGTCAGAGTTAGCTCAGCTAACAGGATGCTGAATCTCCCAGAATGATGGAATGATGAATCACTCCCCAGTGATTCTGTTTTAATATTCTCATATGATTTACTTGGCCAGTGGGAACGTGCCATGTTAAGAGGTGTTAACAACAAACCCTCAGAGATTCACACCTTCTTTCAGATGCAGGATGCTCTGGTTTGTGGCTAAGAAAATATCAATGTGCAGTGACGTTACTTTAACTTTAATTTATCTAATGAACATTGTGTCTGAGTGCAGATGATGATTCACTTGTTAAACAAAACATTACTGATCATCATAATATTAATTTCAACTTCAGTAATTCAAGCGCAGATTAGTCAACCTTATTAATTTAAGCACAGATTAAGCAAAACGTTATTATTCATCAACCATTATTGTTCATTCAACCATATGATTATTTACTATTATAACGGTTCAGTCCTTTATTCTGTGCATGACAGCCTAGATAAGCAGACAGGCTTGGCAGAAAAGAACCTTGAGAGGGGAACATGATGTTGACAATCTGAGTGTAAACACGCAGTGTTGAACATTTTCCTGTGGCTTGGAAGATTTAGAGACGCACAGAGGCAGATTCATGTCTGCAGATGACCGGTGGCATGCAGGTCAATCTGTAGGTGAAAACTGACCATTCCTGGATGTTACACCACCTTAGTGCCATTTTAGGTGTACGACTCACGTTTCTACAGTAAGCCGCAGCTGAAGTTCAAGCAGCAGAAAAGGATGGATATAAAGAACAAGAACGAACACATCCCTTACAGGAATAAACTTCTGAATGAGGCTGGAGGTCGGTATTTTCAGAAATGTCTACGATCAACAATGTAGATCCCTACGACCTCAAAGGAAACAAATGAAGCTCAGACGTTTCATTACTGCTGAAAATAAATCACTTGAGCAAGTGTAGCATTACTTCAACCTATTTATAATCAAGTAAAAGTAAAAAGTAGCCGTTCAAAAACATGAATCCACTAACACACTCTAGGTTTTCATTTCTGCATGAGCCTTAATTAAACAAGTTATTATCCATATCAGTTACAAGCAGGTACAGAAAAGGTACAATCAGAGGTCGCGTTAGACATGTTTGTCTTCATTTTGATCGACAGAGTTTAAAAAACAGCCATGATTGTTTCCTCCCATAATTTTCATTTCTCAAATAATAAATAAAAGTTAACAATTTTATTTTCATTCATTTGTCATTAAAGGGACAATGTGTAGTTTTTGTTGTTAATCTCTGGAAACATCCATCAAAATGTTGTTGAAAATGAATGAAATGACGCCCAGTGGTTGAAAAATATTGGCGGCTTCTTAACATATAACCAAAGTAATCCGTTTTAAATTACATGTGAGTGGGTCTAAGTCTTTGGGCGACGCCATATTAGATGCCATGTTTGCCTCTACAGGAGCTCACGAGGACAAAACACATTTACGGATTTGTTACAAAACTTTGACCATTAATAAACGTTTTACATATTTACCTCTTCACTCACTGCCAGTGATGAAAGGGAGTCTGATGGTCTTGGTATTTTGCTGAAGTTTACACTCCCCGGTCCTTTTTGACCCTAATGAGCATCTGTTGATAAGGTCTTACTCCAACACAAAAATACAGCTTACTTGCAACAACTTAGGTATCTACTGCCCCCTATCGCCAGGAAAACTACACACTGTCACTTTAATATTTAGTCTAAACAAGCTGATCAGTGTGTCATTTTATTATAATAATATATATTCATGTTACAATTAAACGATTTCACTTAAAGTAGGAACATTTTACCTGCTGCGTTGTGGTTCTGCTGGTCTGTGACCCACAGATGCTCCGAGCTGCTCTCACAGCTCCTCTGTCAAAAATTAAAATATCCAGTTAACGCGATCCCTGCCTACAATTAAATTTTTGCCTTCTTGTGAAGTTAGCATGGCAGCCCTTCACACAACAGGAGTGTACCATTTTCTGCAATTTAATAAGCTCACAACACACAAAGTGACCGGTGCTTCCTTTGTTCATACACCTAGCTATCCCATCATGCAACACGCTACAGCACCCGGTACGTCACCTGACAAGGACTGATTCTCTCATTTAAACACTCTCAATGTTCAAAGTTTGTACTCTTGGATGCAGAACACAATGCGCTGTAAAGACTAAATCCGCGAAACAGAGAGCCCCTGAAAGGTGGACCGCGTTACAGCGAGGGACCACTGTACTGTCCTGCTTACTTGTGCATCCTACAGAGCTGCGTGTGTCAACCATGTTGACATATTTATCTGCAGTTAGCTGAGCTTATTGACAACTGACAGATAACAGCACTGGTGAATAGGATGCATTAGCATCTTAACCCCCAGCCAGATGCATGACATGGATGCATGATGTCACACAGGTCAAGGGGTCCACAGTGGCTTTAAAACACATTGTGAGATTCAAAATTACATCAAAATCCTTTTAAAATTGCATTTGTGATGTAAAAACTAAACATTCAAAACTTTTAGGGCTCTAATTGTTACTTCCTAACTATTTAACCTCATAAACACGACTTTTTAGCTCATTATGAATTTTAAACAAAAAAAACATTACAGTGGGGTGCAAAAGTTTGGGCAGCCTCTTTGATCTTTTCCTGTATAAATCGCTGGTTAAGATAAAAAGTTTCAGACTATATATCATATAGGAGACACACATAGGGACATTTTAGAGGTGAAACTAAGTTTATGAGATTTGCAAAAAGTGTGCAGTAATTGTTTAATCAGTAAAACAAAATTGTGTGTGTGTGCGTGCGTGCGTGCGTGCGTGCGTGCGTGTGTATTTGACTTGGGTCAGATGCTTCTAAAACACATCCAGTTATCACCAGATCTTGTTGTTCTGTCAGAAGGAAGGTGGTGAAAACTGCTGCCACCTAGCAGTCAGACTTTGCATTGCACCTCACAAACAAAATAAAGTAGATGTTTGCATAAAAACAATCCTTACACTGCCCTTATATATCCACTTTATATGTAAACATAAAATGTGGCAATATTCCAGTGTATCATTATTTTCTTACATCCCTACTTATATTAATGTAATATCTGTTATTGGATATAACAGCAATTTAAATATCAGACTTGATATCAGCTGAGTCTGGTTCTGACCTTTACACGTGAATATAACCACATAATTCTATGTAAACAATTGTGTAAAAGTGATTGTGGCGTAAAAGTTTATAAAATGACTTGCAGAAATGGCTATGCTTTGGAGATTGAAGTGTTTTCTTATGTTAAACTCCATTTCTCTGAACAGAAGCCATTCAGTAAGTTAGTGATTAAAACAGTTATAAGTATTTAAAGAAACACACGCAGACTTCCTGTAATTCAGCCTTTTTTAGGGAAAGTGAAGTTTGTTGTGGAGTGTCTGTTGAAAATAAATTCATGCATTTTACCCAAGTAGGCAGTTTAAATACCACCACTAGTACAATGTCAACTGTGTAAGAACTCAAGTGTAGCTTATTTCATTGTTTTGCCGTTAGTGTTGCTCTTGAGACCCATTCCTTTGCTGTTCTTATGGGAAGGAATTAAGAACGGATTCTCTGGTTCAGTTTTGTTTGAATCTCAGAAGGCCGGTGGTGCTGGCAGAACTCCTCGTGATTCCCCATCACAGCTACTCACAAAACTGAAATCTCATAACCATCTTCTTCCTGCCGAGGTACAAACAAGAACATCTGATTAGAACTGTTCACTGCTAAATCATAAACTAACGGTATTTGTGATTTATTCGTAAGCATTGGTTTCTACCTCTCCATTTGTGGCATCAGTGGTTGCTGAAACAGCAGAGACTCTAGGAACACACGACTCTTTACTTTCCTGAACTTTGGCAGAAGTCGGTTTATTGTTTTCCGTCTCTTTGTCAGCGGCATCGTCTTCACAGAAGAGAAGAGGAGACAGACCCAGCTACAGGGAGTAAATAAACAGAAAAACACACCATGTTTACACCAGGGGCAACGTTCTCTATATCCACTATACTAAAGCCTTGAGCACCCCACCCAGCTGACATTTTGGACAAGAGCCAGGGTGGCAAGAGTTAAAGCAGAAGTCTTCAGCTAGACCTTCCTCCCCGAGCCACCTCCTCTGCCTCATTCAGAGGGAATCCGAGGCTTAGCCGTGAGACCTAATCTCTCCAGCAAGAGTCTGTGGTAAGGTCCCCTCAGTGGGACATGTCTGAAGCATCTTCCATGGAAAGACTTCTGAAGGCATCCTCACCAGATGCCCCAACCACCTCAGTAGTCTCCTTCCACTGCAGAGGAGCTGAACACCAGGATTTCTCAACCCTGGTCCTTGAGGGCCAGTAACCAGCATGTTTTAGGTGTTTCTCTGCTCCAACTCACTTAATTCAGTGGTTGAATCAGCTATATATATATATATGTAAAGTAGCACTTTTCTAAGTCAGGGACAGAGCCTGGGTTTGTACCGATAAGCCACTGGTTACTCGATTACTCCTTGGCTGTGCCTGGACAATCTATCCATAAATTACTAAAAGTGGTTGATTAAGGTCAACCCTGATAGAGTCCAACATTTACTGGAAACAATCTTGACTTTTTACTTAATACCCCCCCACCCCCCAAAAGAGAAAAACTTTCAGGAAGTCTGGACAACCACAGCTTGGACTTGTTTATCAATTAGAAGAATGCAAGACTCTTGAGAGCAGTACATGCATTTTAATGTTCGTATCTGGTTCTGGCGAAACCAACCTTGGTGTAGAAATCTAGCCCTGAGGGGGTGATCGAGGTGAGGGAGACCTTCTTTCCACTCAGTCTTACTCTGTCCACAATCTCTTCATGCTTCAGAGACTCCACCGACTCGCCGTTGACCTCCAACAGGATCTCTCCATCCTTCATACCTCCCTTCTCTGCTGGACTGCTTTGTTCCACCTCACGTAGAACATGATCTAATGATTTAAAACCAGTCAAAATCAAATACTTAAAGTGGAAGAGTTTAAATCGTAGATATTTATGTTTCTCTCACATGTGTTTCCTGATGGTGTCTTCTCCAGCCGGAGGAGAAAGCCATAGCCCTCGGGTCCAGAGATGAGGTGGAGCTTCCTGGCTCTGAAGGGCAGTTTGTGTGGGACAGCCATGGCTGGAAGGATGGGCATCTTCTTTTGCATGTAGATCTTCTCACTTTCACTGTCTACCACTAGGATGGTGATGCTAGTGCCACATTTTTTCATCTACAACCAAACATCAGTTATCAGCAGGGTTGGACACAATTATCTCAGTCTTGGCTCATTCTAAATTCATTCGATTTGCACCATTTGTGTTTGGAGGATACGAACCATTCGTGTGAGGGCAGAGTGTGTGAGATGGGACACCATTGCTCCATTCATCCACACGAGGCGATCGCCCTTACACACCCCCGCCCTTTCAGCTGCACCTCCTTTCACCAGGTTCACGGAGAAGCGACCTTTCTCTCCTACAGAGCAGACAGGAGGAGCAGCTGAGCGACATCGAACTGTCTTCAGCATGAAACACATCTAATCTTGTATGTTGGACTTGTTGCTATCACAAGTGTTACCTTCCAAGGGTGAGAAGCTGATACCCAGACTTGAGATTTGATCCTTGGTGATGTGGCAGAGCCTGGGCGGTTTGCAGCCTTCCTCCTTGTGGACTTTGACCAGACTTTGAAGGTCGCGACCTTGTGAAACAGCCTGCTCGTACTCCTCTCCACCCAGCACTAACAGACATAACTGTTGGCCACTGAGTTTAATCTTTCTTGCCACCTGAGTTTAAAGAAAAGGAGAAGATACAGTCACACCACCTCACTTTTCCCACGTTTTATGTTACATTCTCATGTTGCATTCTTTTTTTTTGTAAATGTGTTAAAAATAACTGACTTCTCAGTTGACATCAGTGCCCAAGCACTGCTGGGTGCTAATGCTAAACAAACAAAATGCTATAAAAACATGGACAGAGGGCTTAGACGTCGATAAAAACAAATTGACAAACAGAATTCAAACTTTTATGCTCAAACTGTCACGACTCACAGTGCTCAAGTGACATTTTCTCAAAGAGCTTTATTTTACTGTTGGTTTATTACTTGTGTCACTGCCTTACTTTTTAGATGCCACCCACTCTGGTCCAAAGCCCTGTTCATCCACGTTTGGATGGACATGCCATTTGGCTGAGACGTTCAGCTGAACCCCTTAAGTTACACCTCTGCCTCCTAGAAAAGTGCAAAGTGTATAGAACAACTAAATGCACACCCCTTGATCTGCTCCACGCTGAAAATCCGCTCTTCCACATAAATACTGCCGTTTGGCTTGTTCCTTTTCCAGTTGCGTCATGTCGCGAACTTTATCGGGATTTGGAAAGGACATACCGTAAATCCTCTAATACAGGCCCGGGCCTGTATTTGACTCAAGCTCATCAAGCTCCAGGCCTTTATTGGAAGGAGGGCCAGTATTAGAGGCAGGCCTCTATTTCTATTTGAGCAAAATGAACTAATGGTTCGCTGGAGTTTTTGACAATTAAAATTGCGCCCACATTTTCAAAGTTAAACACATTTCTTTTAACAACGGTAGTTTCTGCTTCAGCCATCTCCCCCCTCCCCCTGCGCAGCGGCCACAAACTCACTGATGCGCCTGCAGCCTCTCGGAGTTCCTGCTGCTCTAAACATTAAAATAATTATTTCATTTTCTGTTCCTCACTTCTGATTACCTTCAATGGTGTCTGTTTGTTGCAACCACCAGGTACAAAAACTAACTTGTTTTTATTTGACTATTTTTCTGTCCTGTCTGTTTATTATCTTCCTGCATCTTCTCTCAATCCTAAAGAAAAACTGCTACCTGGGTTCATATATATTCACCTTATGAGTTACCTTTGAACTGCAGTTCTAAAAGATCTACCGACCGCAAAAATAGTGGAGTGCTCGCTGCTTAGCGGCCGTATCAGTGATTAGTGCGTCGGAGGACAAGGTGATGCTCGCAGCGCCCCGCTCCACAGCATGCAGCAAAACGCATCACGCATGCAGCGAAACGCGACACCTGATTGTTACTGTGGCCGTGCTCAGGAGGCAGATCTACCGACCGCAAAAACAGCGGAGTGCTCCGTGCCTGGCGGCCGCATCAGTGATCACTGCGGCACCAGAGGACAAGGTGATGTGTCCCGCTCCACAGCAGTGAAACACATCAGGCGCAAATAAAAGACAGAAAACATTAAAGGAAATGAACCGACATGAACGATTGCGTGTCAGTACCGACTCTCTGGCACAGCGCATTGCCCCCCCCCCCCCCCCCCCCCCCCCCCCCCCCGAGCGCAGGAGCTTGTCACCCGCTGACAGCAGGCTGCTGTCTTTTCCGAGGGCTGCATCTTGCCGGTCATTATCACGTGACAGCGACTAGTCGATGACAGGCATAAAATGTCATAGTGAAGTACTTGCTTGTTACCACATTCCACCCGGCCACAATAAGAGACCGGCCATTGTTCGCCTCCACCGACTCCGACACCAGCCAAAATTGGAGACCCGGCCTTTGATTGAATACCGGCCTGTATTAGAGGATTTACGGTACATACATACATATATATATATGTATATATATATATATATATATATATATATATATATATATATATATATATATATATATATATATATATATATATATAAACATTCACCGTTAGCATGTGTTTGCACAAACAATAATTATTCTAAATACTTCCCCTTAGGATGTGGCACTCGACAAGGCTGCCCTCTTCTATTCGCAATAGCAATAGAACCGCTTGCAGTAGCTCTCAGGTCCAGCAGTATGCATTGCATTTTTAGGGGCGATCTAGTCCATAAACTCCTTATATGTAAACAATCTGTTGCTTTTTGCCTCAAGCCTAGATTACTCTACGCCTATAATTCTACAGCTGCTAGAGAATTTCAGGATGATTTCTGGATATGAAGTTAACTTTATTAAAGCAAAATTCTACCTATTAACTTTGCAATACCAACTGATCAGCTGGCAAGCCTGCCTTTTAAAGCCTCCTCAGGACATTTGAAAGACCTGAGGGTCCACGTAACAAAGGAGCTCTCTAAGCTTTTTGAAGAAATCTTTGACCCTCTTCTTGAACAACTAGTTCAGGATGTACAACGCTGGTCTATTTAGCCTGTTTCCCTAGTAGGAAGGGTTAGCTGTATTAAAATGAGTGCACTCCCTAACCCTAACCCTAACACTTTTTTTTAGATATCTGCTGGCAAGGGACTTCATTAATAGGCATTTTCCTGGTTCTCCCAATATACCTGAAGAAACTGATCGATAAAGTAATGACAATTAAGCCTTCAAGAAAGGCGCCGTCTCAAGCATACATAACCTATCTATGTATAGTTTTACTATAACAACAGACGCCCTTCGCACCACCTGGTCTCAAGGACTTGGGGCCGATATAAGCGGCGATCAATGGCGGTCTATTTGAAAATGTACCCATACTTCCCCAATCTGTGCTAGGCACCTCATCCTTCGATGTGAAACGGTAGACAGGGTGCACTGGTCTAGAAGCTGTTTAAGTGTAACCCTAGTTCACGCTGTTTTACTTTTATCAACGTTCTGAGTTTTTAACTCAATCTCAGCGATTACATCTGTGAAATCTTGCATTTTCCTGAACCTGCCTTGTTTAGTATCTTGCCCGCGGATTGTGCCATCTCACTTTGGTTGCCTTCCTTACTCTACTGGTCAGAAGAATCATCCTAATGGCCTCACCCCCCACCCACTCCCAGTGGATTAAAGACATGCTTTATTTTATAAAACTAGAAAAGATGAAGTACTCTCTTAGAGGCTTGGACACTGACTGTCACAGAATATGGCAACACCCTAAACTGAATGTGACCCCCCGACACCTGCACGTTTGTGGCTTTTATGTATGCACCTCCTTCGCCACTTCTATATGTGATGCACTCATTGTAATTATTACTGCAAGGCACCATTTATTTATTTGTTTGCTTATCTTTTGCTACTCTAAGATGGGGAGAAAACAATAAACAAATCATGCATAAATAAATTGTCCTTTCCAACATCCAATCAGGGTACCTAGAGTCTGATTAGCACAACCCCCAACAGGGGCCCTTAGGTCCTTCCCATCTGAAAATATTTAAGAGGCCAAAATTTAACTTTACGACTACTGGAATGAGTCAGACCCATAGGTAACAATACAAAATGCACGCTTGTTTGTTTAGGACTACATCCCAGAATGGATTGTGACAATACCTTGCTCTCTGTTTAGAGTTACTGTAGAGTAAACTACTTAAACAGCATCTGAGAAACCACCTGAACATAAATATTCACATTTGCCATGAAGCTCTGAACTGTCCTCTGGTACTTTCTGCATCGTAGTCCACCTGTGGCAAGTTCAGACCTGATTTGAAAAGGGTTACATCTTTCTATTTGAGGTCCCACAGGTGATTGCGGTGTTGTGTATAGAATTTAGTCCATGCTGGAATAAGGCTATAATATAAAATCTGGTGGCGATGATAATCTGTAGAATCCCGGAGTAACCTGTGGGGGAAAGTGGTGTTACCTCAGGGTGAGGAACGTCGTCGACATAACAGTTGTTGACCTCCAGAAGTCTGTCTCCATCTTGAAGCCCACTGCGCTGTGCCACCCCGCCCAGCACCACGTTTCTGATCACATGTCCACGACACCCACTCTCCAGCCGCAGGTTGAAGCCATACGTCTCTTTGTCGTCTTGTTTCAGGACACAGAGACGAGGCCTGGGGGCTGACCCAGATTCTGGAAGGGGAGAGGGAGAGAACTGCTGCCACACAGAGCCGACATTCCTCATAATCTGTTGCTCAGAGAGAAGAAAACTCAGAATACCTGGAGCATCGGTGAAGACCATCGCTGGGTTATCTATCCCTTCTTTTGGATTAAATGTAAATGTCCTTTAAGAGACGGAATAAAGACAAAAAATAGTCTTAAAATTAAAAACTTGTGTAAAATATCTAACATCAAAGGTGGATCTGTTCTTGTTTTAGTTCAAATATCTGCATCAGTTGCTCTTTAAAGGTATGCTGTTTACTTAATTTAATCCCATCTAATCTAACAAGCAGCTGTTGGCACATCAACATCTCAGATTACATAAAATCTCCCCTGAATATTAGGCATTACCAATCTAATCCCGTTTAGTTGAAGAATTTTTCATAACCATTTTGTTATTTTGCTATTTCACACAGTTATTGAGTTCAGTTCCGTGTAAGCACATTTTAATCCAGTTATAATCCAGTGCAGTTAAAACATTAAGATATTTCATATCAGCAATGGGACAAACGATAAACAGCTTACTTACTCTGCAGCGTTGACGACTTGCACCACACCAGGAAAAAGAGAAAACACACATGAGGTGAATGATTTGGCATCATAAAGCTCACATTATGGGAGTTTTTATCCACACATCTGGGCTTGCACAATCACTTAAATGTAATATGGTCTCAATTTAAATGTTTTTTCTGTGTCTGTAAAGATTACACAACTAGATCTCTGCATATGTGTGCTCATATTAGCCAAAGTACATTTGAAAAGCATTTTTAAAAGCAAACCAAAGCGACTCGAATATTATAGTAACCAGAAGCAACCCCACAAAAACAAGCAAAAAGGTAAATGAACAGGTAAAGGAAGTTTTTAAAAGCCAGAATGATTCAAACTGGTACTTTTTGTCAGACTGATGAAATGGTTCAGCCTCTCCAGAACAGTGAGAGCAGCATCTGAGTCATGGATGATGCGTTTACCAATCAGCCGAGACGCCGTAAAACAGGGCTTGACTTGGATCGTCTTTAGACTTTGTCCCCTTTAAAAAGAAACTGACTTCGTGATGTAATTAGATTATCTATAATCAACATGATTAGAGTTTTATAAACAGTCATCAGTTATAAAACGGAGGTTGGATCCAAAACAATAACTCATATTAATGTCTATGATAGTGGTCAAAGGAAGAACTCAACAAGAGGCAGCACCTGGAAAGCATTTTTTGGGGATTCTTTTTTTGTCAGGAAAAAAATCCCACTCATTCATGTGGAGGGGGCGTGTCTTAATCCAGCCGCTAGAGGGAGCTTTTAGATTAGATTAGAGTAGATTCTTTATCAGAAATTGATTGATTTATCCCACAAACATATTTTGTAAGTCAATGTGTCTCTCCTGTCGCTCCAACAGTCATATGAGATATTACATTTCTGCATTTGGGATAAATCCACTCTCTGATTTCCACCTGGTGACCTGGCAGGCTCCCAGAGACGTGTAAGAGCGGGCTGGTAAGACTGAATATCATCATAGAACAACCAAACTAAAACCATAAAGGCAAAGAAAAGGAAATTCATACATGCTGAGAAGATTCAAGATGAAGAAAACAAAAAGAGATCCTAAATGTGAAAAACACGTGAAAACAATCAGCAACAGAAGATGCAACCAAAGCCGGCACACTGAAAAACTAAAATATGAAACACGAACATGAGACGTAATGAGATTAACAAACCTGACGCTGATAACTCCGCACATCTGGAACGCTGACTCATGCTTTGTGAGAGGAACTGGGCATAATTCACTTTATCTGAGCCATAGTTCACTAAGTTCACTGAGTCCTTTGGTAGTACAATGTCACATCATGCTGAGTGATGAGACATGACTTATTGCTCATTTATATCTATTTTCCCCTCCTTTACGCAGCCAGAATGTCTTTTGGGGAATTTCTTGCCAAAAAGATAAAAATGGGAGGATCTCAGCTGGTAACTACAGCATAAAATGGCCTTTGACTTATTTGTAGAAAAGGAGTAAGAAATATGTAAAACCACTCTGATTTTGAGTTGTGAAATAGCAAAAACACAAACAAGTCTGTCAAAAAACCTAAATGCATATTCAGGTTTGCTCATTCCTGCCTTGCTCAGCAGCCTTTAGGAGATATGAAATGATCTGCAGCTATCACACTGAGCTGCCACTGTCCTCTGTCCTGCAACCCTTTATCTGAGCAGTCCAGCAAGTCATTGGTATCTCTGAAGCAGAGCAATAAAAGAACAAATTGTTACGACTAATGGTGAAGGACTCCTGCTCTCCCTGAGTCCGGCTCGCCACAGGCACCTCTAATCAGCTAATGGCTCATTGTTTACTTTCCCCATCAACTGTCTTCAGATTCTCCTGTGAGGTACAGGCATGGACAAACTGCAGCATGTCGGCTGATTTGTGCTGTTAACATAAAACGTGTCTGATCAGCACAATTTTTAATCAACTTTAACTTTTATTGGTTCCATTTATTTTGTTCAGATCATACAATTAGTAGACAAGTTATACAGTTTTGCACATTTTTATCAAAGCAGTTAAATAAACTGATGCAAAAAAAAGTCACAGCACATAAAAAATATAAAAACACATGATAAACTGAACAAAAGCCCAAGTATAAGTCAGACGACACAGTTAAAGAGAAGAAGATCGGTTCGCCTTACCTTTACCTGATCTCATGTTGTGTTTCTGTCACATTAGGTAATCAAAGCTCACAGTTAGATGAAGAGCTCTACGAGCAAAGACTCCTCCTCTCAAGGGCTAATGTTTAATCTGTGTAGGATGTGTCTACAAATCTGTTTCTGCTGCACTCTTCTGCAGACAAAAAGTTCTAAACGCAAAAAGAAACTGTTCCTAAATGTTCCTAAATGTTCCTAAATGTTCCTAAATGTTCCTGAATGTACCTGAATGTTCCTAAATGTTCCTGATTGACCCATACAAGGAGTTTCAGGGAACGCTACAACCTTCTGTGTGTGTGTGCGCGCGCACGTGTGTGTGTGTGTGTGTGTGTGTGTGTGTGTGTGTGTGTGTGTGAATTACAACCCAGACTGATTGTGAGGGTCGGCGCTGGAGTTTGACAAGTTAAATAAACAAACACTGCTGCAGAAATATAGATAAGTGAAAATTCAAAGTAAAAATCTGAATTAATTATTGGAGAGCACAACAAATATACAAGGACCCTTTGCTCAGCACAGTGATCCTCCAGAAAGGTTTTGTATGAATAACAATAGTGAGCAGGTCGAGCTGAGGTCGTGTTTGTATCAGTTTGTTCAAAGGAAATGTCCTTGAGAAAAGGTTCAACTGTGGGCCGCAGATGCCAGCAGGTTTAATAACTGATCCTGTGAAGCCATGACGTGTTTTAGTCGCTGATAGAAGCAACATCTGACTTTAGATCAGTCTGGGGGGGGGGGGCTGTTTGTGTGTTTGTACTGCTTTTATTACCCAGGTCTTTCTGGCATGACAAGATAAACCAAAAAAACGTTGCTTAGAAGACATTTTATCACAGAGTTTTCTTCGCTTTACTGTTTTTGCTCAATTACAAATTAAAGGTGCTCCGATTTCCTCCACAGACAAAACCATGCATGTTAGGTTTGTTGGTGGCTCTAGGATTGACTGTGTGTGGTTGTGTGTCCCTGTGAAGGACTGAGAAACTGTCGTCTCCCGCCTCTTGTTGATGGGAGTTGGGCACCAGCTCCCTGTGATTCTGGGACAGGGAGGGACAGCAGTAGCTCAGGAGATAGAGCAAGTTGTCCAAAATCTGGAAGGTTGCAGGTTCAATCCCGGCTCCTTGGACAAGACACAGCGCCTTGTGATTTTTATCTTGAGAGGCGCTATAGAAATGATATTTTCTTCTTCTTCTTCTTCTTCTTCTTCTTCTTCTTCTTCTTCTTCTTCTTCTTCTTCTTCTTCTTCTTCTTCTTCTTCTTCACTGAACCCACCTTGCCTGCTGGTGGTAGTCAGAGGGACCGGTGGCGCCTGTGCTCGGCAGCCTCGCCTCTGTGAAGCGCCTTGGGGGTTGTAGAACCCAAGAAGGTGCTACACAAGTACAGGCCATTTACCATTCTATCCAGGAATAAGCAGGTACAGAGAATATTCTTTTAAAAACGTTTTTCAGCTGCTTGAAAGCTGACGTACTGAAAATTGTTGCTCCTTAATGTCATGTTTTCATCCTAATGCTTGAAAACTGCTGGTGTTAACCATCTTCTAAAGAAAAGAAAATTAGATTCCTTATCATGAATACCTACTGACCAATCTCTACTCTCCCTTTCATTGGGGAAATGATTGAAAAAGCAGTCTAGATCCAGCTGAACAACTTTTTGGAGACAAACCACCTGCTAGATAGTTTTCAGTTAGGCTTTAGACAACACCACAGCACTGAGACTGCACTGATTTAGGTATTAAATTATAATCATCTAATCTTATGCTGATGACATCTAGATCTACATGGCTCTATCACCTATGACTGTAGTCCCCTAGACTCACTCTATCAGTGTTTGGGGCAAGTTAAGGATCAGATGCAGTCCAACTTCCTCCAATTAAAGAAAGACAAGGCTGAAGTTATTGTCTTTGGAAATGAGGATAGGATGGAGGTTTTTGCTCAACTTGGCGGCAGAGGAATAAAGACAAAGCCTCAGGTTAGAAATCTTGGTGTCATAATTGATTCAGACCTGAGCTTCACTGGTCACATAACTGGCTATAACTAGATCAGCGTTTTATCATCTCCATCGTACCATACCATACCATACCATCTTTATTTATAAAGCACATTTAAAAACGGCATGGCAGCCGACCAAAGTGCTGTACAGAATAAAAAGTAAAAACACAATATAAAACAATACACAGTCAACAATAAAATGCACAACAAGGCAGATAATTACAGTCAATAAAAAGACACATAATAAAATAATAAAAGTCAGGGATTTAAAAATGCCTGGTCGTAAAAGTGAGCCTTCAGCAGCGATTTGAACCGGAGGAGGGATAGAACGACTCAGAGGTCTCATGTCCAGACAGGACCTACAGAAACTCATTCATGCATTCATCAGCAGGCTGGACTACTGCAATGGTCTTCTGACTGGTCTTCCCAAAAAAGCTGTGAAGAAACTGCATCTTGTTCAGAATGCTGCTGCCAGAGTCTTAACAAGAACCAAGAGAACCGAGCACATCACTCCTGTCCTTAAATCTCTACACTGGTTACCAGTAAAACACATAATCCATTTCAAAGCTTCTACCAGTTTATAAATCACTCAGTGGCATGGGGCCAGAATACATGTCAGATCTCCTTCAGGTAGATACGTCCAGCGGGGCTCTGAGATCCTTAGGAGGCGGTCAGCTGGTAGAACCTCGGGTCAGAACAAAACAGGGTGAAGCTGCTTTTAGCTACTATGCTGCTCACAGATGGAATCAGCTTCCTCGTGACCTCAAACGTGCCCCCACTCTAGTAACGTTCACGTCAAACTTGAAAACTTTCATTTTTTCATCAGCCTTTGAATTTGTGTTTCTTACGCTGCACCTTCGGCACTGTACCTGCTCACCCATTAACTCAGTATTTTTTCTGATTCTTGAATGAATTTGTTTATTGACTTTGATCTAAATGTATCTGTGTATTTTAATTGTGTTGTCACGTAATTTAAGTGTCTGTGCTACCCTGAAATCACTCTGAATTGTCTGTGTATGAAATACGCTGTACAAATAAAGCTGCCTTGGCTTTGCATAGAAATGTGTAACTAATGGGAACACGGTGATCTTTTTATCGGGCCTCTGATGAATGTTCGTTTTAAAAATAGGATTTGTTCAGCACACTGATAGCCATATTACACATTCTGTTCTCTGTCTGGAGGATGCATTTTACTGCAACTTAACCAAAAAGACTAAACCAAAAGGTTCAGCTAACGGGAAATTAGATTTTAAAATGTGTGTAAAATACTCTAAAGGAAGATGGAGGAGATCCAAGCCCCGGACATTCAGTGATCCCCCAGAGAGCGTGGAGACCAGAGACTGTGGTGGAGACTGCAAGGGAGACCACTGCAGTAGCAGCCCCCATCTCCCCTCCTGAGAGGTGCAGAGGATCACCCTCTGCATACAGCAGCCATGCCAGAGGCCCAGGAGATCATAATGGCAAGCCACTAGGCCCACCTGCAGCTGCCCAATCCAAGGCAGTTTTGAGTCTGGAACTCAGCAGTGTGGGATCTAAAGGCGCCCGACTCCAGTGGAGACCCGACAGAGCTCAGGGGCCCAGGCCCCACCAGGCAGCCACTGGGAGCGAACCAGCAGATGCCAAACTCCCAGCTGGCAGGCAGGCCAACACACCACCCACCAGCAGGAAATGTGGTAGGGGGAGGACAGGGCAAGATGTTGTAATGCCACAAGATTCCCTAGCAGAGGGGAGGAGCCTAAGACCCTACCTGACACATAGACAGTGCCACACAAACACATTCAACACGTCATACACCTGCGCACACTCCCCATACACACCCTACACCCTCTGGTCCAGGTACTGCTGCACAGACGACACAACCATTGTAGTGATGAGCAGGCAACCCCTCCCAACACAGGGCAAAGTGTGTCTGTGTGTGTGTGTGTGTGTGTGTGTGCGTGCGTGCGTGCGTGCGTGCGTGTGTGTGTGTGTGTGTGTGTGTGTGTGTGTGTGTGTGTGTGTGTGTGTGTGTGTGTGTGTGTGTGTGAGAGAGAGTTTGCATCTGTTTGGGATGGGATTGAGGGTGGGAGGAGGGAGATACAAAGGGGATCTCATATGTGAATCTGTGTGGGAGAGGTGAATGATGAACCTGTATTGGTAAAGATAAAAGACTTCCTTAGTAGAAACCCTAATTTCTTCTAAACACTGTTTTTTTCCTTAAAAGAATGGGAAATTTGCGCCCTCTGGTGGCCACAAACAGCAGTAAGGAATAAAGAGAAGGTGGGAAAATGCTGCCCTCCGGTGGCTATTTGCTGTAAATGCACCTATTTCATTTTAGCCATTTAGAACAGAACATTTCAGCCTCCTTGTCTTAATGGTAGCCATCTCCTTGTCATTCCAAAAGTCAGGACACACTCCCAAGGCGAGGCATCCTTCCAGTTTTATGGCCCTCACCTCTGGAACAGTCTGCCAGAGGACCTCGGGGCTGTAGAGAGTGTTCTTGTTTTTAAGGCCAGGCTCAAGACTCACCATTTTAGTTTAGCTTTTAGTTGATTTAGATCTATTTTAGAATGTTTTACCATCTTTTATATATTTGATCAGTGTTTTATGACTTGCTCTTTTACTTAAATGACACATATTTTCTTATATATTAATATTAACTTGTAATAACCATTAGTTTTAACCAGTATTAATAATCTGTTGTACAATATTTTATATATTTAATGAAATGTTTCTACTTGGTTGTCTTTTATCAGTGTGTTTTATTTAGATGTTTATTTATCAGCTGTTTATGTTGAATTTCTTTGCTCTGTGGGGGCTGGCTTCCCCGGGGACAGCGGTTGGCTGTGGCTGCCGTGGTGCTTCTCCTTCCTCCTCTTGCCCAGGCTACTGCTGCCGATCCTGCTGCTCCCAGTGCAGTTGGCTCCTTTGATGGCGTTTCTGTCTTCTTTGTGCCTACTACACGTGCGCTCAGCCAGCAGCCCTTTCTCATTTACGTGTGTGTGTGTGTGTGTGTGTGTGTGTGTGTGTGTGTGTGTGTGTGTGTGTGTGTGTGTGTGTGTGTGTGTGTGTGTGTGTGTGTGTGTGTGTGTGTGTGTGTGTGTGTGTGTGTGTGTGTGTGTGTGTGTGTTGATTTGATGCAACAGGAGGAGGGAAATGTCTGAGGATTGGGAGGAAATAGGCTCCCCCCTTCCCAAAACCCACCCGGGGCAAGAAGACCCCAACCCATCTAGCCAGGGCCCACAGCAGCAGCATCACAGAACCCCACAGAGCCTGACAGTCACCAACTCAGCCCCACTCTGACAGAATATACTCCGACCCCCAAATTTGACTACATAAGACATCGGACACTCAGGCAGAGTTGGGTCGTCCTGGAGATCCACCAACGATAATAGAAAGGTTTCTAAAGTGGTGGTTGGTTTTACAATCCCCCCAATGAGTCCTACGTCTGCTCCAGAGACTCCCATTGGATATGCTCGAAAAAAACTCCATTGAAGGATGACCATGAAGTATCCTGATCAGATGCTGAACCACCTCAACTGACTCCTTTCAGTGAGAAGCAGCAGCCATTTTTGGAGCTCCTAACACTTAACAAAGCTTTCTTACCTGGCATGGTGAAAATTCAGCAACGAGGAATGTTCTTCATGACGTAGAACTCTAACAACGAATCTTATATGCTTCTCATGGTGTTTACTGTCATTATTCAAACAGTCTGTTTCTGCCAGCAGCTGCATGATTGGTTTACAGAATAGCATATCAGCAATAATAAATAGATCAGTAAAATAGTTGTTCAGGCTCTTCCATTCTATTCTTGATCATTTGGCTCATAAATAATATTTGTTTTCTTAAACGATTGAAGGCTAGAGATCACATACAATAAAAAACAAATGCACAGATGGAAGCTCCCAATTCAAAATTGGGAGTAAACGTGGTAAAAAGACGTGATCCCTATTCATGAAGTCCCAAATGGCTAATGGAAGCATCAGTCCACCAGATGGCAACACACTCCATATGGAAAGTTGTCATCCTTGAGCAAACTGAAACAGATAAATGGCCAAACCAACAATGAGTTTTAAACGAAAGATTCATTTGTTGGAACAAAATCTGTGACCTTCATGTTGTTGGTCTTTAATCCTGGTTTTACTGCTGTAACAACTGTGGGCAGTTTGCCATTGTGTGGTATCATTGGCCCTGCTGGAGGCTAGTGATGGTGACCAGAGACCCAGTGAAGCTCTGCTTGATTCAAAAGTGCAAACGCCCACAGCAGAGTCAATTAGTAACTTCAGTTAAACTGGTGTTCAAAGGTTGTGCTGCAATATATTGCATGTGACAGTATGAATTAGATGAAAACCAAATAAAAACCTGGTAAGTCAAGATGATTGGCTTAAGTGACACAGGAGGTTTAAAAGGCTCTAAGTTGTCTTTTACCTGCAAAGGTAGATAAGTACAATACGTTTCCTTTAGACTCTGCTGTCCTGAATGGATCAGGAAGATGCAAGGAGGAGATGGAGTGAAAAGAAGACAGAGACAGCAAAAGGACCTAATAGGGTCTTTCAGTCCTGGCTCTGAATGCGAGTGTCAGCCCAACCCAGTCGTCCCTGGCAGGATCCTCTCAAGCACAGGAAGATGCAGAGCTCCCATCTGTGCTGGAACCCTTGCCAAAACACTAGAATGTACTTGCAGCCAAAAAGCTGTGAAGGAGACAGTTACTGTGCTGGAAGCTTCACAATTCTCAAATCCAAGCATGGCTCAGCTTCATGGAGCTAATGCAGAGGACCTACAAAATACTAGCAACTCCAAACATTTAGCATGAAACCTGAGGCTCTACCCAGCCACAATAGACCACTATGGCATCCTTTCATAGAGCTTGATGGCCACTTTTTTAAGGTGGCACACATAGGTTCTTTGTTTCTGGTGTTTCCTTAGTCTGACTCCATGGCAACAGCAGCATGAATGGGCTTTCCATGGCAGCCTTCACTGCACTCTGCAGCTGAAACTGCAGGTCATACAACAAACTATGACTGGTTTGGAAAGCGTTTAGGCCCACGTGACAAGTTCATGAGTTATTTTTTTCAAATCTGGTACAAACTGAGGTGGTAGGTTCATGATCCATAAGGTGTTACTTTAAAGAGAAAAAGAGGGGGAAAAGAGTCCAAGTGTAAAAGCTTATTTAGCCGATATTCAATTCAATTCAAGTTTATTTATATAGCGCCAAATCACGACAAGAGTCGTCTCAATGCACTTCACATAGTAAACATTCCAATACAGGTCAGTTCATTAAGCCAATCAGTAAAAAGTTTCTTATATAAGGAACCCAGCAGGTTGCATCAAGTCACTGACTAGTGTCAGTGTCTTTACAGCAATCCTCATACTAAGCAAGCACTTAGTGACAGTGGAGAGGAAATATCTGTGTTAAAAGGGACATAATATACTAAACTTTCATGTTTGCATTTTTATGTGCTGCCAGGTCTCCACTCAACACAACCATCCATCCTGCTGGTTTCTGTCAGTGTTAGGTTTCAGGAGTTATATGTCTAAAGCACCTTTCAGATACAGAGGACTCCAAAGCACTTTACTCTACAGTGTTTCATTCACCCATTCACACACACAATCACACACTGATGGTGATGAGCTCCACTGTGGCCACAGCTGCCCTGGGGCCTCCTGACAGGGGCAAGGCTGCCGAGCACTGGCGCCACTGGTCCCTCTGACTGCCACCCACAGGTAAGGTTCATTGTCTAGCCCAAGGACACAACAGCAGCGTTCTCTGGCAGGATCCGGGGTTGATCTGATGGAATTAATGGAGTTAATAATTCCAACTACATCTAATGTTTTTATAATCTGTTAAAATGAAGGAATCTGTCACCATTTTAATAGTAACATGATTTGTTAGTAATATGAGCAGATCTGAAACAAAACCTTCATAAAGTTGACGGCCTTAAGAGCAGTTATTGAAGTAAGGAAGTACAAGTACTTTTTTTACTGTATTTAAGTATAATTATCTATATCTGTACTTTACTTGAGTAATTAGCTTGAGGCCAAATTTTTTACTTTTACTCTAGTACTTTTTAAAGCAAGCTGTACTTTACACTCCACTACATTCTTAAAAAGTTTCCAAAGTAAAAGTACCTTAATCTGCATTTTGTTCGACCCTCACCCCAACCCTGTAAGATTGAGACCGGCATCACATTCCCTCTTTCGCACCAGACTGCTGATCCAAAGGTGTATAATTTGGCTTTTGCCCCTTCCCCCAGGTCCAACATGATTTGGGTGTGAGAATGTGTTGCCAGGTCTCACAGCTTCTACACACAACACATTTTTAAACGTTAGTATACTTTTACTTTATTTTACATTGTTTAAATGCATACTTTAATACTTTTACTTATTTAAAAGATTTATTGGACACTTTCACTTGATTTCCCCCCTTTATGTGTACTTCTACCTAAGTAAAAAAAAAAATAAAAAAAAAAATCAGGGGCTTCTTCCACCACTGCTCAATGGTGTTTTGTTTTTTGTGACAAACGTTTGCGGATGTTGAATTCTGCAGACTTCATAAAATGTGGTTGACAAATACTATGTAGTCACTTTCCTGTAATCTTTTTCAAAAAACATAAATGCTGTCCCAGCATGCAGTTTCACGTTGAGCAATAAGGTCACATCCTGTGAATAGAGAAATTGTGGATGTAAAAAAGGGAAATGTATCCTGTGAGGCTCACTTTACTCAACAAACTGTGTGTGTTGTCCAAACAAATCTCAATTTCAGACTCACTCAACAAATGTCCCTAAAATGCGCGATAAACTGCAATTAAACGATCACCAAAACAGACATCTATGTACATTTGAGTGCTGTTAATTGTGTGTTTACTGATCTTACGGAAACGTTAGATCTGGGTTCAGAGTGGAGCCACCACCGGCTGTGAGAAACAAGTGCTCAGACGCTGATAGCTGCGTAAGAATGACGTTATTTTCATAGACGAATGATGTGGCAAAAATCAAAGGTGGGGAAGAGAAAGTAGTTCCACTTTTACATGTTTCTATTTCTTAAACTCATAAGTTATTACGTTAATATTTTAACATAATTATATTTAACATTAACATCCCGAAAAAATTGCTATTGTATGCAACATTTAGGACTTTAAAAAAGAAGTTCGAATACATATTCATCCGCCATGTTCAGTGAACTTCTATTTCCGGGATGTTTTCTTTGCTGACCAACCTCCTTCGCCATTGCAGGTCCTGGGAGTCTGTAGCGGCAGTCGGTGATTAACCGGGGAACGCCTCAGCTAAACGCCGAAAGGACGAATGAAAAGTGTCATCACACCGACAACACAACCTGGACGACGCCTAGAATTAATTAACCAACGGACTTTGTAATAGAGACTCCCTGGCTGTCCGATTAGGACCGGAAAGCATCATTTGTAGTTTGTGTTAGCGTTAGAAGAAATCGGAGGAGGGTGTCAAGAGGAACCGCCATGGCTCAGATCCTGCCAATTCGCTTTCAGGAGCACCTGCAGGTACGTGGATGAGTGACTGGTGGAGTTGTTTGGAAAAGTACCCTTTCTTGTTACAATTGTTACTCTTGTGTGCTGCAGTTTCATAGTACAAGAAGTATGAGTACGCTAACATGCTAAGTTAGCATTTTTCTAGCTATGCTAACTAGCCTGACACGGTGGATGACGTATTAGCTAACAACTAGCCTTCTAGCTAACACCTGGAGTGGACTCATTCGCGAAAGTTTTTGGTATTAATGGAAAGTTCACACAAATAAGGTAATTATGTCGCATTTAAAATCTTGGTTAATTTTTTTCAACCGCCATTCCGTCCCAGACCACACTGCAGAAAAAAGGCCTCTTTTAGAAAAAGTTCAAGCCGTTGTAGTGGTTTCTCATAGCCGCTGTCAATGATGTATTAATGACAAATGTTAGCTGATGTTAATTTTTACAAATGCCGACCCAAAGTTGTAGATATCTACACATACAACCTAATGGCCAGTTAGCTGGTTGGTATAATCACATCTTTTTAGCGAACCTGTTTGAATTCACTTCGTTCCGTTTCTTTTAAAGTGACAAACACGTCAGAAGTAAGATATCACGTTGGTTGTAGAAGTGTTCATGTGGTGATCAAATAACTGCCTGTAAATCTATATGGCATGGCTTTTGCCAAGTTTCCTTAGGTAAAAATACTGTTAAGCTATAAAATAACCACCTCTTTGATCTGGCTTGAGTTAAGCTGCTGTTCTAAACTTTAATTCTAATTGACAGACCACCTGGTATTTGAGGCTTTTCAACTGTTTCTCTAGCCTGGCTAACCAGGTTATGAAGTTTTAGTGCTTTCTCATGGACACAATCAACAATAAGGAAGCTCAATGTTTGATTCTAATTTTCTAATTGTAATAAGTTATAAAACACTATCATCTTGTAAATGTTGTAATGAGTTATTATTGTAAAATCTGAATTCGAGCAGCTTAGGGTCTTGTGGCTTTATGAAATTTTAAATGGTGAGCTTCAACATGAGCTGTTTACTTGTGATCAAGGTTGATATTTTATTTTATTCTTTAGTTGAAAATCAAGCACATTAGTGATAACTGCCTACATGGTAAATGGCCTGTATTTGATATAGTGCCTTCTAGAGTTCTAGAACACAGCCTGCTCTACCTCCTGAGCTGCTGCTGGCTGTTCAGAGGCCAGGCATTGATCTTTGAGTGGAGGTCTGGGCCACTACATTTGGAGTCTGTGATAATATTTTGTAGACATTTGTTGCTGCTGTGACTGTAAGCGGAATGCTTTTTCAAAGCCAAGAATCATGGTGTTTTTTCATATTTTTGTATTTTGTTTTTCCTAAACTCTTAATCACAACTACAGATCCTCAGAGAACAATGAGGTGTTACTATTACCACAGTTTCTCTTAAGTATCAAAACTCAATCAAAAATGGCTCATTACAATGGCACGTAGCAGCGAGCACTCAAAAATGCTCAAGAAGAACTTGGTCTTCCACCACACAAACTTGTGACTGAATCGCCAACACGATGGGGATCAAGGCAAAAGATGATCCATCGGATCCTTGAGCAAGAAAAAGCCATTTAGCAAATCCTGGCCGCTGACGGATCGACCAGGCATCTGGTGCCTACTTAGCAGGATATTGACATTTTAGATTCTGTCAGCAAAGCCCTTGGGCCTCTTCTTGAATTTACAGATGCCCTTTCTTCTGAAAACTTTGTCATGGTGTCATGCTTGAAGCCTACCCTTCACCTGTTCAACAGTGAGCTGCTGCAATGGAAAGAAGACACAGATCTCACAAAGACGATAAAAAGATCAATATTAGACTACATGAACACCAAGTATGGTGACCAAGAAGTTCAGGAACTGCTCAACATGGCAAAGATTGTTGATCCACGCTTCCGCATTCAGTATATGAGCCAAGAAGAGATCCTGGTCATCAAAGCCAGAGTGGTCAGAGAGGTGGAATCCCCTTCTGTCATGTCAAGTGAAGCTGGCCCTGCCACCCAGGTAATGTCACCTGGATCATCAAAAGAAGCTGAGAATGCATGTAAAAGACAGAAGAAGAGTCTTGGAGTTTTTTTCAGGAAACCAGCTGCAGAGCTGAACACGCTTTCTGAAGCAGAGAAAACGGAGGCTGAATTAAACCACTACCTGCATGGGCCACTTGCAGATGTTGAAAGCAATCCCTTTGCGTGGTTGAAGGTACATGAGGTGAACTTCCCTCACATCAGTCGTTTAGCCAAAAAGTACTTGTGCATCCCTGCCACTAGTATACCCTCAGAGAGGGTGTTCAGCGCTGCTGGAAATGTAGTGACATGCCAGAGGTCTCTTTTGAACCCAGTTACTGTGAATATGCTGGTCTTCTTCACCAGAAATCTTAAGGTGTGAGCCCTGTTCTCTCTTAAAAGCTACCAAATCACACTAGTATGTGTGTTATACAAGTTGCACTTCAGACATGTTTGTGTCAGCCTCATTTCTACATTTTACAAGAGTGTGTCGGTGTTTAGTTTAATACACTGTTATTTTTAAAATTTATTGATTTGTTATTATTGTCTTATTTTGCATTATTTTGTAAACTGTCTGAAGACACCTTGTATATTTTCAATACAGTGTCTGCACTATCTTTATGTATTGTTCCATGTTAAAAGGTGTTGACAACTTAGCTACCTAAGTATTATATTTGCATTCTAACAGTACGCCATTAACATTGTTTCACACTAAAGTTTATACTTTATCTGGTAACATTAACAAGGATATTATGTTATCGAGTTTCACTTGCAATGGTACTCTGTTGTAATTTTGAAACAACTGAAGGCAAGGTTGGAGAAATGCTTTTCTTTTGCTTTTTGTACTATTTTTGCTACTGTTTATGCACAGTGAAAGTACAAATACAGAAGCTGTTTACATTTTAAACTTGTCATTATTTGAACAATTGTGTAATAATCATCATTGTCATAATAAATACCTAAAATTATCGTGATAAAAATTTTGGGCCATATCGCCCATCCCTAATCCTCGGTTACAATAAAATAACGTATTTCTATTCTCATGTAGGTTGAACAGGAAACGACACAGAAGTAGTTAATTATCACCCTGAGTTACGTACGCATGTCGAACATGACATTATTTCCCCATCCCTAGCATTAGCTGCAAAAACGAAATTGACGGGAAAGTGATTGGTTCAGAAAAAAGCCAAAACGGTTACATTGCAGTTGGCCAATCAGAGGTGAGACGTTTACATGTGAAGAAAATTACTGGGTGTTTCTCAACATCAAAACAATTGCCCCTCGGGGATGATTAAAGTTTTTTTGAATTTGAATTAAATGAAACAGACTTTCATCTTGTGAGTGCAGCGGTCATGTGACACGTGAGATAACGTATTTTATACTTATAAGTTTCAGTATAAATATATAACAAGCCTTTTACTTTTTAGATTGTGTATATGTTGGTTAATTTAAATATGTAAGTGAGTTACTACCTGCTAGGCACAGAAGCTGCATCAAAGCATGGCTAAGTGCTTTGGACATAAAAAAGATTTATTTTTAGACATCGACTTGATAGATGTAATTAGTTGAGTTACATTTAAATTTGAAATTTGCCCCCGCAGTAGCTGCTGGCTTCTGATCTGCCATCGTTTAGAAAATACCGCAGTGTATTCTAGGAAATTTTTGGCCAAGGCTAGTGTACAAGGCACCTCTTGTGTACCCTTGCTCAGCTAGTTAAATAGCTAGCAAAAGTAGAACTGACGCCTCAGTAGAACATGAACATTGGAACACGCCTTGGCTTATCTCCTAGGAAACCGGGGCGGGACCAAGACATCAAGGCAAGGTTCCTTGGCATTGAGAAACACCCAATGAGTAAGACTAGATTTCTAGGCTAGCAAATTGGCTTTCCTGTCCCTAATTTATGCCTTTTTGTCATACATGAAACTAGTTTCTTTTATTTAGTTTCCTAAAATGTATATTTGGCACCACTTCCATTTCTACTTTTGTTTTTAGTCTCCATTTGTTGTCTCCAACTCACTGTCCAGCATGGTTTTTGGTAGGGATGCACCGATATGAAAAATTTCGGCCGATTTCCAATATTTATACTCCTGTGTGTAGATGCACACAATTGGTTTAATAATAAAAAAAAATAGCCTGTTACTCATCTGATGCAATTAAAACTCCATTAGCTTCTGCGTGAAATAACTTGGTACTCTCTGGTCCTGGGAATCACTATCCTGCATATTTGAATGGTTTTCCTGCTACAGCACACCTGATAGAAACAATTACATTGCCTCTATCACACTCAGCAGTAGTTTGTTTATCAGCCATCAAATGAAATCACTTGAAATTAGGTGTTTTGTTCCTCACATTAGTAAGTGTTGTTGACCATCAATACCCACAATATTTTAGTCATTTTGCCTGGCAATAACAAGCATAATGTTGATTAACAATATAAAGTTTTTTACTTTTTCAGAATGGCTCTAGAGACTTTTAAAGAAAGCAAACTGTCTCCTATTGTCATTGGCAGAGTCACATGATCTTGACCTCATGCTGACACCATCTCAATTTATACTTCACATACACAGTATATTTATCTTTGGAAAAATGAAAATGAAACCTGATTTTTCCTCGTGGAGAGATTTGTAAGATACAAATTGAAACTGACTAGATTTGTTGATGTATTTGTAAAACTTGAATGAATACTACACACTAGATGCAAATTTGGTGATTTAAGTTTAGAAAGTTTCTCAGTCAGCACTTTAGTGTTCTTGTTTTCCGTTTCCTCCTTTTTGTTGCACTCCCTCGGTCTCTGCATCTGTGTTCTGCCATCCAGCCAAACTGCACGGCTTGCATTTTTATAAATCATCCATTTAAACAGATTCTCCTGAATAGATTTTAAAGACATTTCATTGCAAAGTCTTTCCAGACTCTGAATGTTTTCTGACTTTATCTTTTCCGAAGTTATCCTGGTGATCAGATGTAATGTCTTAATTTGATTACTGTTCAAGTGTAGGCAATTTTTATCA